CCTCCAATTCCAAGGTTAACATTCGTCCCTCATAAGGTAGGGCCGCCGACATATCTTCTATAGCTACTCGCTTTGTATTTCAAACTTGATGCGAACTGATCATTTGACACCCGCAAACAACTATCACCTAATATTCAATGGCACTCCTTGATACTTTGCAGGCATGGGCTAGCCAGAATCGGCCTGAGCTTGACCATGGCTATCACTGGCTCTGGCTCGCACCCCTCGTATGTATCACTTGGCTTGTAGCCTCCCGTCTTATTGGAAATGCGAACTACAAGTATCCCAATCCCATCCCCGGCATACCCTTATTTGGAAACACATTTCAGCTGCCTTCCAAAGGACTGGGTCCTTGGATGATGACCATTGCCAGGAAATCTGGAGATATGTACGTTTCTGGTTTTAAAGTTGCTATGATACCTTAGAATGGTAAACTAACGTCGAGTCTTTGAGGTACACAATGAGGTTTGGTGGAACGCCGTGGCTTTTCCTGAACTCTCGCCGCGCTGTTACCGCCTTACTTGACAAGAAGGCGGCAATCTATTCTTCCCGCCAAAACCTGCCTATGGCCCGTGACATCATTTCCGGTAACAAGCGTCTTCTTCTTATGCCTTACGGGTCAGAGTGGCGTAAACAAAGAAAAGCGATGCATCAGATCCTCAACAATACGAAATCGACCGTTTTTCAGCCATTCCAGGACCTAGAGTCCCGTGCTCTCCTCTATCACTACATGGATAAGCCTGATCGCTGGTGGGAGGCAAATGCCCGATTCGCAAATTCTATCATCATGAGTGTCACGTATGGAAAGCGCTCAGACTTGGGCGATCCGGATTTGGCCAACTTGCTCAACAACGCGGAGCGGTTCACCCCCTACTTGATGCCCGGCCAGGCTTTAGTTGACATCGTTCCGGGACTCTTGAAGCTGCCTATTCCCTCATCGTGGCAGCCCTGGCGCTGGTGGGGGGATGCTCTTCATCAATCAACCAAAAGGTACGTCATCCAGAGATACAAGTTCATCAGATACCAAGAGCAGATTACTCACAGTTTTACTGCCTTAGGGGATATAAGAAGGTGTTTGACGACCTTTTGGAGAGACGGAGACTCGGGACTCAGAAGCCGTGCTTCATGACCGAGCTTCTGGACATGAACACTGATGGCGAGTTCAGTACGGAGGATTGCTATTTCATAGGAGGGACCCTTATCGAGGCTGGATCTGACACCACTCGAGTTACCTTGATGGAGATTCTTGCAGCCGCAGTATTGTATCCTGATTGGGTTGAGAGAGCCCGGCAGCAACTCGACTCGGTGTGCGGATCCAAAGCTGAACGCCTCCCGGACTTTGGCGACATGCCGAAACTACCACTGATCAAGGCGGTCATTAAGGAAAGCATGAGATGGAAGTAAGTCCATCGCACCCCAATTTCAAGATGGATACAGGCTTACAGGAACGTCACGACGTTAGGCCGGCTATTGCCGAAACAGGCATTCCTCACTCGCTCATCAAGGACGACACATTCGATGGTTACAAAATTGCCGCAGGAACAGTTGTAACCATCAACCACTGGGCGATTTCTCATCTTGACTACGAAGAACCTGAACGGTTTTATCCAGAAAGATTCCTCGACGAGGATCTGGATGTGCCCACGAAAGGGCATTTGGGCTTCGGCGCCGGTGAGTCTCACTCCATTCCCTGTACTTTGCTGCGAATGAGGAAACTAACAGCTCAATGGGCCGGAGAGTGTGTGTCGGCAACACAGTGGCTTGGAACAACATGTTCATTGCGATGAGCAGGCTGCTCTACTGCTTCGATGTGAAGGGTGTTCCTGGCGAGACTATAGACGTGTCTGCCAGTTTTGACCTTAGGTATGGAAAGGCTCCCTTCGGAGTTATTATTAAGCCTAGGTCGGAAGAGCATCGCCAACTTATAGAACGTGAATGTGCCAGTGCGGCTAAAATGGAGGACTAGGGGCATGACAATGAGGCGGGTTGTAAATAGAAATCATCTAGTCTGTTTAACTTACATCATGTCGATTTCTATCAAGCAATGCTGCACTGAGTGCACATCCCTATGACAGTGCCCCAGGCAGAACTGGGTTTTTGATTGTGAGGAGGCCTGTGGATATTTATTCTTTACCGCCGGAATGACGTCGAAAAGGTGCGGGGAACCCGAGGTCAAGGATCTGACCCCGGTCAGTTCTCGGCCATGCCAAAGACCGTGATTCCGTCCTCCCCAGACAATCGACCCCGATTGTTATTCCAGGACTCACGACCACACTCAGCGGCATTTGGCGCATTATATGGGAACAATTCCCCTACAAGGTTGTGCTACCTCATCTCTCTGGTCACTACCACCAAATCCCCCCCCTCTAAGCCCAACGCGGCTACTGATATGCAGGTTCTAAGTTACGCAGACGTTAGCACTATTCCTACCATTCTTAGCAGGAAAGTCATGAAGCGCCAGGTACCCTGCGAGTCTCAAGAAGACAGCCAAACACCCAGAAAAAGAGGCTTGTCGAGTCGACCTCCAAGGGCCTCTAAAGCATGCCAGGCTTGTGCTGCTTCCAAGATTCGATGCGACGACTTCGACATATGCCGAAGATGTATAAAACGCGGCGTTCCCTGCATTCGTTCAAGTCAGGTTCGACAAGGCCGCCATTCCCGAAGCGAATCTAGCGCTGGGACATCTATCGACACGGGTGACTCTTACATCTTATCGTCGACCACAAAAGACTCTACTGGAGCAGTGGCAACCGCGAATACCGGCAGCGGAGACGAGACCGGGACTGGTCTGGTATCGGCTGATGGTAGTCTTGGCCTTACTTTCGATTTTCCGAATTCACCGAATCCACCAACTTACGAGCGACCATTGCAGGTGAGTAGAACGACATCACGGTTCGCTTTGGTTCCCATGTTGATCAATTTTAGCTCTGCAGTGACATCCAGTCTGCTGACATCATTGCCGGCGCGATGCCAAGTGACACCACGGAATGGTTAAGAAACTCCTCGCTTGATGCCGAATTTGATACATCATTTCTTCCTCTCCCATTCCTTGACTTCTCCGGATGTTTCGACGATAGTTTAATGAAAGACTCAACAGCCACGAGCTCCAAGAGCTTGCCGTCCGAAGGTAATGTCGACTTCGAGGAGGCCGTAGTAGCCTACAGTACCACTCTGGGAAGCTGGAAGCCTACCGATGAAGATTACTTAGCTTCAGCAAAAGCCTATCTCTATGTTCCCATTGACGAACACCTCCAGATGGGGGAAGGCTTAGGTCCATTTAATCCCTCTGTAATCAGTGGATCTCTGCCGGTTGCAAGAAGAGACGAGATCATTGTTGCCATGATCGACGTGGCTCAGACGACTCACTCATCACAGGCGATTCGAGTGTTCCCCTCAGCCGAAACGTTAGACAAGTTCCTCAAGGTATTCCTTACCACTCAGGAAACCAATACCTCAGCCTTCATCCACATTGCGACTTTCGATCCATCAACTTGCAGTTTACCCCTTCTTATAGCATGTATCGTCGCTGGCGCCGCATCATCGTCAAGGACATATACCCGCAAGTTCGGGCTGGGACTGTTTGACATGCTACGTCTCCACCTTGCAGCATCGGTTAGTTACAAAATGCCCGCCGGCAGGTCTATTACTGGTTCAGGATTTCGGGAGGGACTAATCAGGTACTAGGGTGAACGGGAAAACACACTGACCCGTGACCTGTCGTATGTTCAGTCGCTTATGATACTGTCGGAAACGGGCCTTTGGAGTGGTGATAAAAGAATATCTGAGATATCTGATTCCTTGTCAGAGATGACAGCACATGTGACCAAGTCCCATCTGCAAGTACGGATTTCTTAACTAACGGGCGACAGATGTTGCGACACGCTGGTCTGTTTGATCAACATACCTATTCTAACCCAAGCGTCATGCTAGACAAGCCATCCAGCAAGTCAGAAGAGGCGTGGAGAAGATGGGCACAACAGGAGTCTTTGAAGCGGTAAGTGCTAACATTCCCGCTGGCCAACAAAATCTTATAAGCAATCTCAGGACAGTCTTTCGACATCTTCTGCAGTGCACACAGCGATCGGTCATAAGGAACGTCGCAGCGCAGATGTCTCCCCTTGATGTCTCGACGCCTATACCGGAAGATTGTCGGTTCTGGTATTCAAAGTCGGCATCTGAGTGGAAGTCCCTGTACCAGAACCATGGACCTCGTTTTGCAGAGCGCAGAATGACGATTACCGACTGTCTTTCTGATATTCGATCGATCGACCTACTCTCATCCTTTCAGGCCTCCAGTCTCGCCAAGTTATCGTTACTATACTCTTTTCTGTCGCTTCTTGTTGCAGATCATCGCCGAAGAATGATTTTCCGCAAAAACGAAGACTCTGGTTGGTCGTTTACTGACTTGAGCCGATCACCTGTTGATTCAGATATGGTATTTCTATTCGATGAGCTACGAGAGGTGGTCGAAAGAGATCAAGATAGCGTAGAATCACCTATTCTTACCTTCATGGTGGAATTCACCATGCTCTACTCGGCCATGCCCAGACATCTCAGAGAGAACTTTCTGAATAGTGGGAAGCAAGCGTCTGCTTCTGACATATTTACCCACCTTCAGGAATGGCAACAGAGTCGTGCCAGCAGGTCGGCAATTTGGCATGCGGGTCAACTTATCAGAGCCTGCAGGAAGATCGCACCGAAGGAACGCACAGATTTCCACCTGGTTGCTGTTTACCACTCCCTATTGTGCCTCTGGACCTGTTGGGCCGGTAGCAGAAAGAACTCGTCAGCCATGGTGCGTCCGATTGCACAAAACGTTGGTTTGCCGCCAGTTCTACTCAATGGACCTGAGTCGGTTGAGTCTCAGCGATGGATTAGCCACAACCATGGAGTTCCTTACCTGACTGGACCATATGACACTAGTGGAATATGTGATGTCATACCTGGACTGGTTCTAGTTGATCCTACTTATTCGGAGGGTAATTTATCCAAACTCCCTTTAGTTGATGTACTAAATGAGTGCTTCTCAAACTCGATAACAGGTAGAGCCATCCCTATACTGCAACACATTTCACTTGTTTTATCTAGCTTAGAAAGGTTGTAATATATGACCTAAGTTATGTTAAGTCTTATTGCAGAGTTTTAGTTCAAACCCTTCTGTTAGAGGTAAAATATAAGAGACAATTCAACGTGATTACTAATAAATTTCATTACTGCCGCAACCCCCCCTAGCTAATATATTTAGAAGTTGAATACTGCGTTCTTATCTTATCCGCTGAAGCTAAAGACCAATGATTCCAACGGCCGTTATTCCGTAGGCCCGTACTCCCCAGGCGCCGCGATACCGACTATCACGGACTGGGTTTAGCAGCCCCAACGGCCCGCTATAAGGATCAATAGTTGTCAATAGTAGCAGTTCGCTAACCCGAATATTGATCACGGTTCCTGAAAACAGTAAATCTCGACCGTGATTCTGTCAATAGTTTGCCAAAGCTGAGTCGAGTAAAGACTTGGCGAGACAAGGGGTCCATACATAATAAAACATCATCGCACAATTTTGTTTGAGGAGGTAAGCTCTCACTCACTCTTTTCTTGACCAATTTTGTGGTCTCGCTTCAACATGCAGTCTATTCTTGTGTTTGTAGGCCTGGCCCTGGCTGATTTGGCCGCTGCTGGTCCTTGTAAGCCCAGTGGTCCAACATCTGCATCTAGTCTTGCGGTCACATCCTCCGTCTCGACCGACATTTCCGAAACATCCGAGGTTCCCAACCTGACCATCCCCCAATCGACAACTACAACCCAAGAGGTCGACATTATCATCACCAACGCCATCGACGGAGGAAGTTTCGCCGCCCGCAATGCCAACAACCCGCCCAGTGGCCTCACAAATTTCGGCGCGTCCGGAAATGCAGAGTTTCACGAGGGAGGCTGCTACAAGGCTGATGGTAGTCGCGATGATGGCTGCGCTGCATTGACTGCTTCTGGAAACCCAGCTGGAAAGCGAGATACGGGATCGTTTGCTAGTATTTGGCAGACTATCAATTCGCTGAGCATTGGATCTCAGAATACGTACACTGTTCAGTTCTACTATGCCGTTCTTTCTGGTGGTAGTCAGGATTGCACTGTCACCGCGGCTTTGGGCAGCAGACAGTTCTACTCGCAGTCTCTGTCATCTGTTGGAACAAGCGTGTCTTGGACGCATGTTCTTCAGCAGGTTGACGCAGAGTCTGCTTCTGCTACCTTCGCCATCTCCATGACTTGTTCTGGAAACGGTATTTCTGTTATCTTGGTTGACTCCATTTTCATCTCCAACCAAGTCACCCCCGCCAACATTGGCAACTTTGTCCTCGACTTTGGCGCGCCCGCTACAAACCTAGTTACGACATCCGAAACATTCACCGAGCGAACCATCGATCCCGAAACAACCTCTGCCAGTTCCTCATCTGAAGTCTTCACTGAGAGAACCATGCCCGAGACCACCACCACCGCTCCCCCCAACACAGACACTACACGTCCCGCCCAACCCACCGAAACAGCCTGCAAGCCAAACTGCGGCCTGCGCAACGGCTTCGACAACAACCCCGCATGGAACTGCAGAGTGTACGGCCTCTATAACGGCCTGACATACCAACTCCCCAGCCAAGACGGCGACGATGAGACGAGACCTTGGTACGATGGCCCCGAAGACTGTGCCGAGATCTGCAAGACACTGCCTGGGTGCAAATCAGCGGGTTACATGTTCGCTCCTCGGAAGTGCTTCTTCTCAAACAACGTTGTTACTCCTTCCGAGGTTCGCAATATGATGGATGATGGTATTGATGTTGATTGGTATAGCATGGATTGCTTCACGTGCTCTTCTTGTGACAATGGAGCGCCCGAGACAACTGCTCACAAGACTTCCACGCCTGTTAACACCGATACTACTGTCGCCCCCGAGTCTACAACCTTTACTACCCAAACCTCTGACAGCTTAACGACTACAACATCCTCAGCTGATAATTGCCTCTACAACCGTGGTCAAGAATGCGAGTTCGACCGCTTCACAGACCACAGCGACACTGTCTGCATGTACGGCGCCCTCTTCACCGGCACAACATGGAAAGAGCCCCGCGCAGACTATCCCTACCAAGATACCGTCTACCAATGCGCCGCTATCTGCCAAACCCTCAAGAACTGTGAATCATCTGCCTACTTCCAGACCGAAAACCGCTGCCTCTTCACATCCAAGAAAATCCAGCAATCCGACATGGAAATCCACGAAGATGCGCCACAGGACCACGCCGTCTGGAGCCATAACTCCTGCTGGACATGCCCAACCTGCTCCGAGACCGCTACCCTCCCCGCCACGAAATACTGCTCGTACTCGCAAGGCGATAGCTGCCGCGCTGTATCTGGCAAACCAGCTGCGCTGTGTGATTACCAGGGCTTCTGGGAGGCGTATAACCAGTGGGATCTTGACACGTACCCTGATCAGAGCTCGCCTGAGAAGTGTGCTGCTATTTGTATGGCGCTGGATTACTGTGTTGGGTCGGGTTATAAGGATGACAGGTGTATGTTTTCGTTTAGGGAGCTTAAGGTGGCGGATTTTAGGGATTGGCCTGATCATTCAATGGATGGGACTTGGAGCGATAACTCTTGCTTTGAGTGTCCTGGTTGTACTGCCTAACAGATGCAGTAGTAGCAAATATTCTTCACCGTATAATAATTATTTAATTCCTCCCTCGGAGATCTTGGATTCCTTTATGGTTATATCGTAGATAACCCATACTGAATCCCCATAATGGCATTGTTCTCTCATCAAATATGAAGAGAGGTCATTCAGTATTAGTGTACTCCCTCGAGCTCATCGTCGGCGTCTCACCACGCCTCAGCTGGGCGAAACTGCTAGCAAAAGCTCGACAGAATCCACGCCATGCAATCTGCGACACCAGCGTCCTCTCCAAATCTCGAAGGAAACGAACGCAGTGGTCAGAGCCATCCAGTAGTCCAACTCCAGTCAAGTGAACGACATTATCGCTACCATTCCCAATCCATTCTTCAATAGCTTCTCCATCTTGTAATTGATCAAGACGCGTAATCACCGGACGCGTTGGAGTTGAGCCCAACGATGTACGTGTCTCATTATAGCAGTAGATGTAGCCCATCGCCACGGTGAGACTGAGCGCATCATAGCACGCAAGACGACGAGAACTCCGTGTTGTTTTGAAGATGCAGGTAGCATGCCATAAACCCTTTCGTGCCTTGACACCATTGTTCTTGAAGAAGTCATTGAGATGCATTTTGGACTTCTTCATCTGTTCTTTGTTGGTCTCCCAGCCCGTAGCAGAGTGCAACGTCTCAAGCGGAATAAGTCTCAGAATCGCAATGACATGAAATATTGTTTCTGTAAAGTGTCCAGGGTTTGACATGTTTTTCAAGGTCACTTGTCCAATCGTCGTGTCTAGAAGAGCATTTTCGCTTCTACTGATGTCAGGTCTGGGAAGCGAAGGGACCGGCGCCTGTTGAGTATCGCTATTTGTTGAGGAGTTGAAGTATGATGCAAATGATGACTGTAAGAGCTGTGAGTTGCGTAGCCGTCGGTAGTAATTTCTGTCGTCAATGTAGAGTTCGAGAAGAATGACTTTGGCGGTAAAGGCGCCTGGCTTCGGTTTGCGTCCTAAAAAAAGATGATGAGTCATATAATCGACCTCGATGCCAGAGACAACTACGATACCTGTGGAGTTTTCTTGCCGTGACTTCCACTCTGAAGCATCCCGAGACTGCCATAGCGTTTCAGGACAAGGCAGTTGTCGCGTCGCCTCGCGGAGGTTGAAGACCAGCGGAGTACCTAGAAAGATATGGCTCAAACACTCCAATACACGTACGCAAGTAACTATACGTAGTTTACTCTCCTCTGTAATCCATTTTTGCCATACTTCTCCAGCATGGGGCTCAGTTTGAGTTGACTGTCTGCGTTTGTCAGCCTTGCCAAGAAGATCCCAGCACATCGTCGCCAGGCTACTTCGCTTGTGCTGCAGAACTACCTTATCTCTATGCGAGCCTGAGAATAGCCATAGAACATGCAAGAGAAAGACAGACTGTACTGTTACTATGTCAACGTTTAATATGTTGTCGTGTACCTGGGGTTGAGGGTTAGCTATCAAGTCACGAAGAGCATGGTCATCTGTGACTCTACTTACAGGTAGTTCAATAGCGCGGGCTAGTAGGTCACATAACGAGGAGTTGTACTCTTCTGCGCCTTGGATTTCGGAGTAATGACTTCCGACTGCTGCTACGGCTAACAGCAAGACCCATGGGACATCTGGGTCCTCAAAGCGAGATGGGTGTAAAAATGGGAACTGACAGTCAAAGTACTCAAAGTACAGTTCTACAAACGCGTGTAGGATATCCCGAGGAATGGCTGTCGGTGTTTGGTCTCGCCGTTGTGTCTTGTAGAAATTTTTCAACCCCTCTACAGCATCTTGAGGTATCTCATGGATATGCCCAAAGACTTCAGCCCCAGCCATTTGCAGACCAATACTCTCTGGCTCTGGGAACGGATGGCATGGCTGCGTGAAAGCGGAACATATGTTTTCCGGAGTTAAATACGCCGGAGCTTCTACCGTCTGCTGGGTTGAGGTTCCGTGATGCACTTCGTCTTCATGAGGATGTGCCATATCGGGCAGCTCAAGTGGCATCTCTAATTCGTCCATGAACCACGGAAAGGAAAGATGGGCCATTGACGAGTTCCAAGGCATCCATGAATCAGTTGTCATGATCCCAAGACTGTCAAGTCTTCCGTCGAGGGTAAAGGTATCGGACAAGGTTGGCCAGCTTGAAGAAGTATCCGGAAGTGCGGTGTATATGGCGCTTGATGCTATTGTCGGCATTCCACTCGTATCAGAAGGGATAGAAGGAGGATTATCCCATTCTTCTGAAATCTCATGAAGGTCACCAGATATAAAAGCCTCCTCCTGCAAGTCTGCGCTTTGAGCTGTGAGGGGCGATGAAGCAGAGATCTCTTGCCCTCGAGATGACTCTCGCACGATTGTAGTTTCACCATCATCACGTCGTGCACTTAACGCCCTCTCAGGATAATCGCACTCTGAGTTGCGAGTCTCGCATCGCGAACAAGGATGACCTCCATCACAGCTCTGCTTCGACCTCGAACAAGGGAGACAAGCTTGACCCCGCCGGCGACGACGTGTTCTAGTCGATCCAGGCTGATTACCATGCAATGATCTGTGACGAGTAAGTGTATCACTACGATGTGTCAGCAAATATCTCGTCTCTCCGAATATGGCATGTTACTGGACCTGCGAGAGAAGGACTTGGAACAGATGTTGCACTGAAAGGGTTTGAGGCCCGTGTGTCGTAGGACGTGTCGATCACGGTGCTCACGGCGCTGAAAGGTCTCTCCGCAATGATCACAAGACAATGTATTCTGCTCCATAACGAATTACCCCGTTGCGTTACCGATATGTTTGCCTGGGAGGAGAGGATGGTTATGGTGAGAACCGACGGGACGGGATATCTCGATAAAGGTGGGGGGCTAACGGTTTTTGGGCGATGGAGTGTCTTACCCCGCCGGCCCCGCTTGGTCCAGGGTAATTGTCGGGAAGCGACAGTATTAAATGAATGGGTAGAAGTTATTTAGCTAGAAAAATGCCATTCTTTGACTAAGTACTACTATTGAACAAGTTATGCATCGGAGTGGGAAGAGCTAACTTTCGCGTTTTAATAAAGACAAAGTAGTGAAGCTTTTCAAGCGACAGGCCCAAACATTTTATCGCAGAGAACTCACACAAGCTTACCCTCGATAGACATCATGACTACCCTTGAATGGTTCGGTTTGTCTATACTCTCTTTACTCCAGAGTCGATCGGTCACTGACTCAACAGGCGCCACGACCTTCCGAATGCGTACCCGAGGTGTCACCATCTTCCTCGATACCTGGTTGGACAGACCCTCAATCTTGAAGACTTACCTCTCGGTTGATGATGTCCAAGAAGCTGACTACATCTTCATCTCGCATGCCCATTTTGACCAGTCAGTATCACTGTCATAGTACAGATTATAACACTAACGAGTCAAGCCTTCCTGGCGCAGATCGAATAGCCATCAAAACTGGCGCCATCGTCATAGCCAACAATGAAGCTATCAACCTCCTTCGAGAAGCCGGCGTTCCAGAACGACAACTCCTCCCCGTTCAAGGTGGCGAGCGTATTCCGTTGTTCACTCGCGAGACTTGGAATAAGGCCAATGCTGACTCGTCATTGCTCTGCCCCGCTCCTCCTGGTGCACCCCGACGTCCACTGGATAGTCTTACAGCTTTCTCAGTTGATGTCTGGCCTTCACTGCACTGCATGATGCCTACAGATCACCCCGAAGTTATAGACACAGCAACTGTATACAGAGGCTCAGCGAGTCCCTTTAGTTGCACGCTTGATATCACCATCGGCATGAAATATGGTCTGCTCAAGGTCGGTGAACTAATTCCGCCCGAGAATCTCACACCTGGTCATCGCTCCTTCATCGAATATGTCTCTGATCGAAAGCGCAACGTATTTTCGCACAGCGATGGCGGGCAATTGATGTTCAACTTTGTCATCGGTGAGAAAGCATTGCTTTGGAGCGCACATCTCGGAGGGTACGAGGGAATTCTGCGAGATTTACAGCCAAAGCCTGATATTGCGATAATGGCAATTGCTGGAAGGGCTAATCTAAACGGAAGACCCTTTGATGGGTCATCGGCTGAGTTTGCGGCGTTAAAGGTTGGGTGGCTGGGGAATCCGGCCCAGGTGATCTGGTGTTTACATGATGAAGCGTATGTAAACCTGCCCGAGAAAGTGTTGAGCGAAAGATTGACTGATGTATTGCAGATGTATCCCGCCTTGGAGGATCAAGACTGAAGCGGCGACGAAGGCGGTTGAGGCGAATGGCGAGACAAAAGTCCTGACGATGGACTTTGTTAAGCCCGTCAAGCTGGACATATAGCTTGCAATTAGTAATTGGCGTCTTATAGAACTCAATGCTACACTAGATCTTCAGTATAAACTCAATGCACCAAGGATGCTTACACTAATGACTGTACTAGCATGTCGCGTCACGTATCAGAAATTGTAGCATCCTACCAAACTTTTCCCCATCCATGATATAGCACTACACACACTTCGTCTATCCCCCCTCGGGGGGCAAGAAAACACTGAACCTTGATATAAGGTGTTAAAATAAACTAAGTAAAAAGTACCCTAAGCTTAAGCTAAATTTACCTAAAGATTATTATCATTTAGGGTCAAGGTCCTGAGTTTTCTTTCCTCCCCTAGCCCCCAAACGTGGACTTTCTTTTATGCCGCTATTCTTTTACCGGCCATGTAGATCTCGCGACAAGAATCGAGCCAAGTGTCATGAATCCACTGAGGTAGTTGGTCTGGAACCATTAACCTTACTAGAAAACAGCGGCATCATGGCCTAAGATAAAAGAGGAATAAGAAAGCTTGCATCAATCATGAGGTCGGACCCGAAGCTTTCTTCAGCTCTAAAAATAACCTCTCAAGCTGGGTCCAGCGGAATCATGCCGAGAAAGGCGCTGGGATAAGCTTTGCGGCTGTTTTGTTTTAGACATGCTGCACGTAGACAGATTCTAAGCGGTTAGACATTTCCAACTGACAGCTACTGTTGTACTTAAGCGAGAGGTACGTGATAGGCTGACATTAAGCGAGCCATTGAGTTTCAGACTAGTGGCATTCTGTCAAGTCTAAATCAGTTAGTGCGTGCTCTCGTTGCGTGGATCCTAAAGACCCTTGTAATGTCGCGCCGTGCCCTATAGCTGATGTGACTCTGAACTTGTATGATCTGCAGCTTCAATTACATACATCCAACTATTGTCATTACCAGCATGACGTTTTTCGATTTTTCATCAAACGGGTTTTCCATGTTCATCAAATGGTGACAACTCTAGGTGTTTTCGACTCTGGTGGATAGAGCAAGCCACCACTCACACGCTACGCAATTTTAGACATGCCAACGGTAGTGAAAAGCCCCTTCGAGACCCCAAATCATCAGTTGTTTTGACGGATCTTCGGCATACTGAAGACGGTCGTTGCGAAGCTGTGGCGGCCACAGATATTGGCTTTAGTGCAAGCCACGCCGTTCAAATGAGGCGTGATAGGCTGACGGTTGGAGATAACGGTTTGACAAGAACCCGTAGCCGAAAGATGTCTAAGCTAATGAATAAAATCATGAGTGATGGGCGCCACCATTGGTAAAGGGATGCCGACACCCGTGACGCTGCAAATGTGAATATTTATTGTCAAAAATGCCATCTTTTGTCCTGTAGTTACTGACGATCTGCTTGTCGCTATCACTCAGCTACTATAATCGATATTATCGTAATTATAGTAGAATTATAATATACAGATAATTTAACGTAATATTATTAGAGTTTGCAGTACGCCGGACTGGATAACATGTCGCCTGGAAAATTGGTCTAGTTCCTAAACACGAAGTTGATGGAATGTAATATAAACCTTAAGACCAGATTTGGGCAAAGCTCAGGGAATAATAAATGTCTCATGAAGACAGAGAATACGAGAAAGAGAAAAAAAGATATAGAGACCCTAAGAAGTGTTATTCAATTGTACTCTCCTAATTGTATACAAGTTCCATCTTTTTGTCATTGAATGCTGGCTTACACACAATGAAGCTGCAAGTCGGACTTTTCGCCCTCTGGGCCAGTACAGCAATGGCAGGAACCTGCCAACAGGGCACCACTGCAGGCCCTACCACCGTTCAGGGCGTCGACTTTGACGTTATCTGCGGTAAGGGGTTAACGGGTACATCTTACACCACTCAAGCTTCTCAAAATGCCGCCACCATTGGACAGTGCATGGCGGTCTGCGCAAATGATGCGTCATGCGTTGGCATTGTGTGGGATAACATAACCATCTGCTATTTGTACAGCTCATACAGTGCTACGACCAACGACTACACCGATATAGCTGTCCGCGTACAGCAAACCACCTCGACATCCGTGGAACCATCGACGACTTCTTCTGCTGCTGCGTCGGCTACATCATCCGCAGCACCGCAATGCCAAGCAGGCACCTATACTAGCTCTACCGACAATGTGCAGTTTAATACTGCTTGTGGAAGACATTATGTTGGCACTGAAATCTCCACTGGCGCCGCTGCTGACTTGCAAGGTTGCATGGACATGTGCGCAAGTGATTCAAACTGCGTTGCGGTATCCTTGTCATACAGCGGTAATGGCAATATCTGCCACCTCTTTGCTCACATTGACTATTCAACACCCGATGCCTCGTGGGATCTGGCTGTTGTTTCATCGCGCCCATCTTCGACATCTTCAGCAGAGTCAACATCTTCAGCTGACTCAACCTCCGAGGCGGCCTCTTCAACGTCTTCATCACCTCCGGCCTGCCAGAGCGGTACCGTTAGCGGTTCTGTCAATCAGTTTATAATCACATGCGGTGCCTCGCCGAACGCATACAATACGCTAACTAGTCTTGGAGCTGGATATACACTGCAGACATGTTTGCAGGCATGCGATGCTGATAGTCAATGTGATGGTGCAACTTTCTCGGAGCAAATGGGCTACTGCGTCGTATATAGTGGATCGTTGTCAACCACATACCCAACTACAGGCGGTGATTACATTTACAAAATACCCGCATCATCGTCGTCATCCTCAACCTCTTCAGACGACGCAACCTCAACAACTTCAACGTCAACATCTTCAACATCGTCAGCCGATTCGACCTCAATATCGTCAGCTGATTCAACCTCAACATCGTCAGCTGATTCAACCTCCGAGGCACCCTCAACGACATCTTCAGCACCTCCAACCTGCCAGAGCGGTATCTATAGTGGTACAATCAACCAGTTTGAAATCACGTGCGATACCGCGCCAAACACATTCAGCTCAGTAGCTAGTAAAGGAACAGGATATGATCTGCAGACATGTCTAGAGGCATGTGACATTGACAGCCAGTGCGATGGTGCAATTTTCATAGAGGGGTCTACGAGGTGCCTCGTATATGGTCAGCCCTCGGACTTGTCACTCACTCCAGGCACTGATTATATTCGCAAAATACGCCCAATATCGTCATCATCAACATCCTCAGACGGCGCAACCTCAACAACTGCGGCAGTGACGACCACAGAGTCTTCAACTGAATCCTCTACATCTATACCGTCTACATCTGCATCATCTACATCGTCTTCGTCTACATCGTCTTCGTCTACGTTTTTGTCAGCTTCATCTACGTCTTCTTCAGCTTTGCCTACGTCTTCGTCAGCATCATCATCTACATCTGATCCCTTTTCAGTTTCTACCACATCCTCTACATTCTCTACAGCTACATCGTCTACGTTTACGTCTTCCACCTCAACAGTCACATCTTCGTCAGCTACGGCATCTGCATCTACGTCTTCCACAGGTACACTTTCTACAACTACCTCACTTACAACTACATCATCCACTCCATCTTCATCCCTATCCATCTCTACAACTTTGCCGACATCATCAGAGCCCATCTCCTCACAGTCCACGTCACGGTCCACGGTGGAGTCCGAATCTCAGTCTACGTCTCTGTCTACATCTCTGTCTACATCAAACACTATATCTGAGTCTACTCTGACGCCTACAACATCAATCTCTGCGGGATCTTCTCTCCTTTCGTCTCTTCTCACTACCACTACAACCTCAAGTACTGAGACCTCCACCATCGTGACATCTGGCAGTACCGAGAGCCCAAGCTCCGAGACGTCAACCAGTGAGACAAACATCTCTTCTAGTTCTACAGCGCCAGAATCAATTCCAAGCAGCTCCAGTCAAACTACAACAGAGACAGAGTCTACAGTACTATCCACCCAACAACAGACCTCGACTGTCACAAGCGCTCCACCATCGGGATCTTCAACTTCACCAACCTTGACTACATCGACAACTTCATCAACTCCTTCCACAAGCCCAAGAAATATCCAAGTTCTTGAGGGTTATGACTTTATCGCCTGTCTGCGATCCGACGAGGGATTCCCAACCTTTACGGAGGTAGCGACCCAGGCCGACATGACCACAGAGATCTGTGTTAAGCTGGGTGCTGGTAGCATATATGTTGGTGTCTATGAACAGTGAGTGTTTTGACAATTAAGAGGACTCAAGCTAACTCTTCATAGGACTTGTTACAAGGCTGATTCCCTGGCTGGCTCTGAAATTGTCGAGGATGCTCGTTGTAGCCTTCGATGTCCTGGTGATTCCGGTCTGTTCTGTGGAGGCACAACTGGCGGTGCAGGCAGACGCCGTGCTATTCCGTCGAATCGCCTCTTGACCATTTATCGCCAAGCAGTCTCCTCTTCTTCCTCTTCCTCCTCCTCCTCCTCCTCTTCATCTTCCATCTCTTCAAGGGCTTCAGAGGCCTCAGGAACAAGGGCGTTCTCATCAACATTCGTGTCGATTGCTCAGACAAGTAAGAAGCAATCAGTCTCCTCTTCTTCAGTATCTTCTCCAGGAACTACAGTATCCACGACTATTTCAGAGTTAAGATCAATCCCTGGCACTCCATCTCAAAATACGCCCGGCCCTATCCGAACCATTCGCATCACCGAGGGCGTCACTTACACAGAGATTGTGGTGGCAACGACAGTAACCACTGTCACATATGTCACTATCAACCCAAGCCAGCCAGGAGTTCTCATCACTACTTGTATACCGGTAACTCTGGAATACACTCCCTGCGGCTGTGATCACCAAGAATATCCACCAGTAGATATGACCACCATTATCTCGCCATGCCACGCCTGTGGCGATCAGGGGCAGGATGTTGTCACGATGGTCGTTCCACTTGCTGCTTGTGAGGGAGCCGGTGTGAACTACAACCCTTCCGGTTGGATCGCAGGTGAGGCTGGGAACAACGGATACCCTGATAAGATTCAAGGTCACCAGATTTACACTGGCAGTGAAGGAGATGCCAACTCCCAACCTCAACCGACACAGGGCCAGCAGAACGGCGAGGGACTGGGTTACGGGAATGGACCTTCAGGTATTGAAGCCGCGACTCAAGCACCAGGAGGCGGCGCGCAGAACAAACAGCCAGCCAACCTCCAATCAACACAAGGCCAAAAGAGCAGCAAGGGACCGGATTATCAGAACGGACCCTCAGGTACTAAGGCCGCCACCCAGGGACCAGCAGATGAGGCACAGAACAAGGAGACAGCCAGCCCCGTGCCGGCACAAGGCCCGCAAAATACTGATCGACCAGGTGGTGAGAACGAAGGATCCTCTGTAGCAGTCCAAACTTCGCCAGGGGATAACAACAAGAACCAACCAGGTATCCCAGCATCCAAATCCGGTAATGCACAGAAACCCTCCAAACCATCGCCTCTTCTCAAGGGTCAGCAAGTTTCTTCAGAGGGCCTCACAAGAGAAACAGGCGTTGTTCCAGCGCCTCAATCCAACACTCCCTCTCGTCCTTCTCAATCAGTACCTGTCAATGGGCATAACCCAGACATGTCCACGACGTTCGCTACCGAGGTTGAAGTCACTAAAGAGGCTGGGGCATCCGAGTCGACACATAGCCTCAGTTCTTTGGGACATGGTGAGGCTTCATCTGTTCCATCGACGGTTTCTTCGTCTGAAGCATACCGATATCAGATCAGTTACTGGGGTGTGATAGTCGCGATAGTGGGCTTGGTACTGTTACTTTAACAATGTGTACTGGTTTAGTTGTGCTTTTTTCTTTTCATCAGACTTGTGGCTAGGGGCGTGATTCAGCAGAGAGAACTTATCTATTTCGAGAATTAACAAGATTTTAATTGTTTTAGTCCAAGTTGGTCTGGTCAACCCATGACGGCATACCTAGGATTAAGAATAGTTGGCGTGGCCATCGATCCGTCGGACCCCTCCGGAACGGGATTTCATGAAATGTGATCGTAGCAGGGCGGAGGCTAATAACCACGTCCGATCCTTTCTTATTAGCGTGGGGCCGTAAATTGCGAAGCATCGAACGCGGTTTGGCTGAGTACTCTTCCCCTCTCAGACCATGTCTCCACAGGATCCCCACGCGGCCCCGTCGGCTACAGGCTAGATACCGTGGGGAACTTTGCTACGCTGGTGTGCCTCTGCCGGCTACTAATCTCGAGCCTCTTTTCCCCGCGGATCTAGTTGCTGTTAAGACTACACTTGCTTGGTAATCTTCTTCTATCGGCTCGGTACGGGTGCAGACTCCGTGATTCCGGTTATCTGTCGCCAAGATACGACAAAAGCCCTTAGCAACTATGTGTTGCTTCAGAACCATTGTGAATCCATCTTGATCGATATTCTCATCACAAGTCGACCAAAGCACTGGATCGTCATGGCCCAAACTGAGAGTTCCCTTTCATGCTCTACCAGACCAGACATGGACCTCGAGGTATCCGAAAAGAGTCCTCAAGTCGAGACACTACCAGAGTCTCAACCAGTATCTCCCGTCACCGAGACTGAGTATCCTGAGGGAGGCAGGGACGCATGGCTCGTCGTACTCGGGGGCTGGTTCGGTCTCTTCTGCACCTTCGGTCTAGTAACCTGCGTCGGTGTGTTTCTCGAATACTACCAGACCGGTCCTTTGACAGATTACAGCCCTAGCACGATTAGCTGGATCACGAGTCTGCAGGCTTTCTTCCAAGTTGGTGGTTCAGCAGTCGTAGGTCAAGTCTCCAATCACATAGACAGTTTAGAGAACGAAACTAACAACGCGGCTCGCAGTGGGGTCGTGTCTACGATTCATACGGTCCTCGATATCTTCTCCTCATTGGCGCACCAGTATACGTCTTTGGCATATTGATGCTCTCGCTATCAACCCAATACTACCAGATACTACTCTCCCAAGCTTTACTCAGTTCAGTGGGGTCAGGCGCCGTGTTCACTGCGTCTCTCACATCGACAACATCATGGTTTCGAAAGAAGCGGGGAACGGTCTTTGGCATAGTCAACTCTGGGTCCTCAGCCGGTGGTATAGTGCTACCCATCATGCTATCCCGTCTATTCAGAAGTATTGGCTTCAGCTGGACTTTGAGGGCTGTCGGCTTCATGTTCTTGGCATTTATGGCGATGTCGTGCGCGTTGATCAAGTCGCGGACTCCCCCGAAACCTCGTCCTTTCGCATTTTCGGACTATCAGAGATGTTTCAAGGAGCCAGTCATGCTGTTGACGATGCTCGGTGGCTTTCTCTTCTTTTGGGGGATGTTTCTACCGTTGAACTACATCATCATCCAGGCAAAGGCGAGCGACGTTTCGTCAGACCTTGTCCCATATCTTCTACCACTCATCAACGGTATCAGTTTAATCGGTCGCTTGACAGCTGGTGCCCTCGCAGATATCATCGGGCAGTTCAACTGCATGTTGATAATCACCGCATTTACTGGCATCTTGACTTTAGTGCTTTGGATTCCAGGCAGTCAGAGCACGGGAGCTATCATGGCATATGCCGTTGCCTTTGGCTACGGTTCAGGCGGCTACGTGTCTATCTTCCCTGGCTGCGTTGGTCAGATCAGTCCAATTGAAGAGATCGGTACACGAATTGGAATTGCGTCACTTGTTAATGCATTTGGAGCTTTGACGGGTAGTCCGCTTGGTGGTGCGTTGATCTCGGATCAGAGCGGAAGTGGGAATAGCTTCATGGGCTTGCAGTTGTTTTGTGGGTGCACCATGATTGCTTCGGTGTTTTCATATGGAGCTGCACGCTATCTTCAGGCTGGTCCGAAGTGGACGAAAATTTAGGGATCTATGGTAGAAGTCTTTCAGACCAAGATGTCGTCAAGATCGAGATTTCTAAGAGTTAGATGCTTCATTCGCTAGTAATGGAAACACATCGCAATTAACATATCAATTTCTCTGTGTCTTGTAAGCTAATTCCGTACCTATTTTACAACGATCACTGGGATAGCCTCCGATAGCCGTCATTAGGAAGCTCTGCGGTGAACTTATGCTGGCTTCTGTAAGTATCAAAGGCTAGACGATGATAAAAATGGGAACCTTCAAGAGAGGCGCCGTCTAATAGCATATAGTCTCACTAGTGATCTTTTTCGATTAGGTGCGCGACACGAACCTGCAAAATCTGGACCCTAAGCATCGATCATCGACTATTGGTAAGTTAAGAACCTTAAAGATACACAATGCATTTCCTCCTCAATCCTCCTATCCATGTTCATCAATGAAGCTCAGGAGCATCATCCCTTGGCTCCCATCCAAACATCCTAAGACAGCTCACAAAGCCACTAACCACGAAGAGCATCACCCGCAGACCAATAATTATCCCACGCCCAGTCAGACTATCCAAGTCCGGTAACTACCAAATCGTCAGCTTCAATATTCACAATATGAGCGGGAGTCATACCTGTTGGTTGCTACTCTTCTTGACCCATTCAAACGCCCTCGGCATCATAGCTTTCTCATACACTGCCAACTGCTCACTCACCTGCTCATCAGTCACATCTCCATGTGCGCTCTTCAGCTTCGCAAGCTCGAGTAATGGGCCAAGTGCATCCGCTGTATCATGGATCGCATTATTCGCTCCCATTCCTCTGGACGGCAGCATCGGGTGGATGGAATCTCCGATGAGCCAAACGCGAGGATTTGCAATGCTTGGATCTGCCTTGTTCTCGCTCTTGGATAGGAGTTGTTGTCTCCAATTCACGGGCGTGTCTTTCTTTGCGTATCGCCATGGCGTCGTCATGATAGCGTCGTCATCGACAGCATCAACCAGCTTGTGAAAGCCGGGATGGAAGCCAGCTTCGTCAAGCTTTTTTTTCATCAGTCCCTTCTTGTCTTTGACTTGAGGGAGTTCCGCTGCTTCAGGCCCAGTCGTCCATGCCATGCCGAGGAACAGAGAAGCTTCGTCCTCGTCGTAGTTCTTGGGTCTGAGGATATCCGTGTGCTCAGACTTAGAGGGCGATAAGGCTTCTGGTAGATATACAGCGGCAAATACCATGGCCTTGGAGTTACCGGTGTAAATAGTTCCCTTTTCGAGAAGCTGTCGCGGCAATGTCTGTAGTACAGACCAGGGTAGATGACATTTGCCCAAGTAGCCACCGTGTCCAGGCGTCACTTCGGTGATGATATTGTTCAGTCCAATCTGCTTGTTGATCCGACTTCCGCTTCCCTCTGCAGATATGAGGACATCGCAGTCGTGATGTGTATCGTCGCTGAAGTGAACCCTGATGCTGCTCTGGCCAGCTTCCTTTCCTCGAAGTACTTCATACCTAACATACTTCTTACCAAACTGGATAGCGTCCCTCTCCTTCAATGGCTTTTGGAGAAAGTTGCGAAGTCTCGTTCGTGCAATCGGAGCGCTCTTCTCATAAATAGGAGCTTTACTCAAGTCGATCAAGACCTTCAGATCGGAAGGGCTGAAGATGCAAGGAGCAGACGACACGACGCCTCCAGACTTGCCGAAGCAGGGGAGTAGGCTTTCGTATTGTTCTTCTGTCAGACAGGCTTTGAAGCCAATGAGTGCATGAGCTCCAAGACGAATTTGGTAGCCACCTCGTTCTGAGCCAGCTTCATCGCGTTCGAAGACGGTCACGTCGATTTGACCATCGGACTTGTTGATGAGGCCGTTTGTTAGACATGCGCCTGCGAGGCCGCCGCCAATAATGACGACTCTGATAGGGGCCATTGAGCGACAACGAGTCTTGAAGCGTAACGATATTGGAGCTGTTAAGGGTGTAGATCATATAAAACTTCAAGGGAACAACGAGTTCGAATTTCTATACGGACGATAATTACAGCCAAATGGTTCTAACACCATCCACCTATACTCAGTATTGAACAAGGACCAGGTCAGTCGACCGCCGCATGACATCGTCGGAACGGCCCCGCCATAGAGTTGTCTGTCCAGATTTGGTTAGTACCCCGCCGGTTCCGCCGGCCTCTCGATCCACAGTCGAAGCATAACAGATATCGCCAATGAAGAGTCACAGCAACAATGAGGGCTAAAGACTGATTGTTAGTTAAAGCTTATGACATCTCACCGGGGCAAGAACGAGTGCTATGCTTACACTTATGGTCCAGCTCTCTGCTTCTACTAAGCCTGTTGCTTTGACATCAATATTGAAGACTATAGAGTTCGAAGTGACGACTTTCGATAATTGAATAATTATTGTTGCTCTTATAAGAAATTCTTACAAGCCGGGATACACTTTGATATGCGACGCGGACGCATACTACGGGATTTAAAGGACAAAGAGGTAGCCATGGTACTGGCATGCATGATATGGGATTAACCCGGAGATAGACGGGTAATTGAAAGATGAACAAGGGTGCGGGATCAGGAATGTAAGAAGGAGACGGTAACGAATCACTAACTGAATCACTAACTGAATACTGAGATGCTAACAATGTGATTGGGACCAGTCACAGCACGTACGTTAGCTCGTAGAGAATGAGGAGGTTCTGACTCGCTAAATTGACTCGGTGATCGACGGGGTAGTCCATCTCGGGCCGAGACGATAGTTACCCTGTACGGACCCCGCTTCGTATTTAGAATGTGACCTCTTGACTACCGAGCGTGTCTTATACAAGCAATTGCCATCTCATACTTACAGGATTCAATTTAGAAGCTACCTGTATCATTAGAATTTGTATACCCATTTAGTTCTACCTCACTTGTATTACCTATCAGACGATGCCAGCTTTACCGCGGACGGTGGCTGTTGTCCACACCCCGTTCTGGAACGAGTCAGAACAAGAGTCACCAGAAGAAGAAGTGCAAGACGTCTTCACACCAAGATTTATTTACTTCTCGGGGCCAGACAAGAGGGGTCATGATTCCCACGACTCGCGACGACGCCACCGTGAACCGAAGAGAGATTGTCAGTCAAAAGTACATAACGGCTTCAAGCAACTTGATCAGTGCTCTTCCCAACCAGAGGCAAACCGGCTAAAGCGCTCTCCCGAGTCTGCATTCTCAAGTCCTTCAATGACTTGCAACTTCAACATGACTGATTTCGAGCGATTCATACTCAGTGATACCGGCAAAGAAGTGAAGCAAGATATCTATTCTTACTACAACATCACCCAGCCTGCGAAACACACCGATTTGAGACCACGGAAGAGAAAGAGAGTGGATGGCGTGACGATGGCTGATAAGGAGATACGCGAGTATGAGCGCTGGGTTTTCGGCACGTGGGAGAACATATTCTCAGGGTCTTATTCGTATTCTGGGTAAAGAATTAGTTATCCTCCACATTATGTAATTCCGTTGACATGTAACATTATTCTCAATCTATGTAGTTGACTTTCGCAAGTTCCGCCTACAAGGTTAAGCTTTCGCGTGCGAATGCGGTGATGAATAAGAACACAACCCCCCCACCAATATGAGCTTTCCCAGAACCTTACGTGCACGTTGACAATTCTCAATCAATTGCCTTTGAAACAGAAACTCAATTGCCTCGTTAGCTTACTGTTGCATTGCTTCGAAAGGATGATCTAGCCTCTTCCAACGGCGGGCAGCTTGACAGCTCGGGATACCCCTCATGAGCTCTCGGTACTCGGGCCTTTAAGTCAAACCCGTTTCATTTCCTAAAGCCCAATTGGTCACTTTCGTCCAAATTATCAACTGTCAATTCTTCGTGTGAACTCTAAATGCTGCAACTACCGAGGTCGTTATCAAACCGCTTACCGCTAACTGGATTAGCTCTTATTTTCGTCTCCCCTGTCTTAGCCTGACATGGCCAACGCTTTGACAGCATCTCCTCTTTACCGTAAGCTTCCCCGCAAAAGTCCTCAAGCCATGAACTAGCTGGAATGTCCGTGTCAGATAGTCTGACAAGACTAGACGAGGTTTTGGGAAGCAAAGTACCTCTTTTCGCAACTGATTCCCAAAAGAGTCTAGAGCCGGGATTCCTGGTAAACCTTCGACAATGAATTATCTGATCACTCACCAATTGTCTTTTTGTACAAGAAGAAGGTCTCAGACTCTTATCGGTGACGTGAACTCGCTGATACACAATCCAGACCACTCATATCTACTATCTACTCTAACATTCTTATCATATTTGTTGCAGACCAACCCGGCCTACGATGAAGTTCTCTTTTTTGAAGGCACTATTGCCACTTCTGACCTTGGTCGTAGGAGGCTACGCCCAATGCCCTAAGCAAGTCACGACCTACTCTCCCCTTCTCTCCCTCGGCCCCAGCGATGTCCTGTTCACCTCTTGCGCATCTGGCGCCGACGGTCCTCGTGTCAACCCCATCAACTCGACTACTTTCGATTGGTGGTACTTTGACGCCGTCTCTGATGATGGCGAACACGCCCTGACTGTCATTTTCTTCACCTCTTCCTTTGTCGGATTCAGCTTCGACTTGTTGAATGCAATCGACCCTCTGAATGTCTATGTCTTTTACAACAATGGTGGCGATGGCTTTTCGTTTCCCATTTCGTCTACCTCTGTCACGATCAAACTCGATGGCGATGGAGCGACGGGTGATTGGAAGGGATCCGGTGCCAAGTTCGAAGGGGCGGCAGATCTGAGTACCTACAAGGTCACCTTCAAGAAGACATTGTTGAACCCATCCGTAGAGGGCACCTTTACGCTGAAGTCTGTAAGTTTACACCATGGAATGGCCTGCTGGAAAGATGGAAGTAGCTGATGATGGACTTAGCGCGGCCCCGGTCACTATGTTTGCGGTCCCCTTGAAGCTGGCCAGAACATGAAGGTTCTCCCCAACGTTGGCTGGGTCAATGTCATGCCTGCCGCCGACGCCGCAGTTGACGTGAAGATCAATGGGCAAAACATCAAGTTTACTGGTAATGGATATCACGATAAGGTATGTTCACAGCTGCCCGTCCCCAAAATCTGAAAAAACTAACTAATGTCTTCTACTCAGAACTGGGGTGACGCTCCTTTCCTGGCCTCGCTGAACGGCTGGTACTGGGGCCACGCTACCTTTGGCGACTACAACATCGTCTTCTTCGACATGCTCGATAAGAACAACGTCGAGAAGGTCGGCGGTTATGTTTTGAAGGACGGACAGGTTGTAGGAAATACATGCACCACGGGCCTTCGAGTCCGACCTGTCGGCACGCCATATCCACCCACTCTGGGTTCGACCAACCCGACTCAGATGACGCTGAACATGACTCTGGACGACGGCACAGAGTTGGATGCTCTTCTGACTGTGAAGAAGACCCAGATCGACATTGAACTCTACAGCAGGTGGATTGGCTCTATTGAGGGAACTGTTGGCGACTATTCAGCTTCGGGCTCTGCCTTGTGGGAGCAGTTTAAGGTTGCTTCATGATCTGAGTTCGATATGGTTTCTTGTGGTGGAAAGAGTTAGGGGGATAGCTTGTTGGGAATGAAGGAAGAGAAAAAGTAAATAGAAAAAGATAAAAAAAAGAATAAAAGTACAAAATCCACTTTTACCTAAACTACCCTATTATCAGTACTATTAAGTTAGTTACTCTGAACGTTAACTTTGCTAAAAGCAATATGTAAGAATGTGAGTTGATTTAGTAAGTACAGAGCATAATCCGAGCCTTGGTGTTTATTACTCAACACTAAGGCCTCCCTCAAATCGATCCCTTAGACTATTCTGAATACATCCACATAGTGGCTATAAACGTGGTCCAGTGTTAATAATACTCTATTCTTTATTATAAGTACATCAAATACTTGACGGCTGCCTTTAAGGTTGAGGTTCAGGCTGCAAGCACAGGTAATGAACGAGATTGTATATTGAGTGATTCTTAAAGCTTATGACGTCTCAACGAGACAGAATGAGAATGTATATATGTATCGCGTTACATTAAGCGTAGTCAAGCCCTCTAACCAGAATACATAGCTAGTCAACCCGTTCAGTGAGCAATACGAGCGGCAATGCGGTTAGTCATGTACTTCTTGGTGTTTCCAATAAAAGCGCATGCTACAATAGCACAAACGCCAAAAGCAATGCTTGTCAGCCACACATATTTCAGCGCGTATGCGTATCCCCAGCGACTGCCAATAGCTGCAGCCTCCAGAATCTCAGGAGTGACGCCAGGGACAGAAGTTAGGGCAGAAGGCTCAAGAATGTAGGCAGTGACAAACTGGGTGGCGGAGGTGAGAGGAAGCCCTGCTTTGATAGCATAGTCGGCGACGACGTAGGGAAGCTTGGCCTTGAGCTTATGGTAAAAAATGTTATAATAGATGCTGTAACCGATGGAACCGCCAACGACACGGATCGACAGCGACAGGGCAACACATGTGGCGATGAGTTCGTCTGGTCTGAGATGAGAGCAAGGCAGTTAGTAAATGGGCTTTAAAGGAGACCTCGAGGGGAATACTACTTACGCAACGGTAATAGCAACGGTTGCCGCTGGAACGAGGACACCGCCGACTCCAATGCCAGAAAAGACGCCAAAGATATAGATCAAAGCAGGAGTGTCAGGCGTCACCGCAGCTAAAGCTCCTCCAAAGGCAGTCATCATAACGCACGAGAAAAGGAGCAGCTCTCTAGCATTTCCTTTGAACCACGAAAGTGCACCATTGATGACCGTGGCGCCTATGGTGATCCCCAGACCAGATGCCAGGCCCTTGAGGCCGACCTGAACAGGAGCCGGATCAAACACAGTCAAGGCTTCGAGCGGGTAGAAGTTGATGGATGAGTAAAAGTTCAAGCCGCCTACAAAAGCCACCAGGAAGGCTACTGCGACGACGCGTTGGCCTTTGAATAAATCACCTGGAACCATTGGACACTTTGCGAACTTGGCCTCCCAGATGCAGAATGCGATGATCAGAACGATGCCGATGAGAAGAAGGCATAGGACGTAAGCTGATGACCAAGGATGGGAGTACCCGCCGGCCTGAAGAGCAACGAGGCTGTTTGACTGTGTTAGATCAGTATTGGCGGAAGGTATTTGGGAGACACTTACAAGAGAGTCAGGCCGACAATGGACAAGAAAGCCCCGACGTAGTCAATTGACTTTAGAATCTCCATCTTGGATAGTTCTCCGGCTCTCTTATGGGATTGGGGGAAATATGTGAGAGCCACCACGGCAAGGCAGATGCCGTTGTATATCCTGTGTTCTTATCAGCCCATGTTCGTACCAGATGCCATCGCAGAGACCTACAGTGAAATCCACATGCCCCATCTCCAAGTGTGATACTTGCTCAAGATCTGGCCATACATGACGTACGGAACAAACGGAATGACGAAGAAAGTCACCAGTGCAAGGTAGAAGCCGCGCTTCTTCACAGGGACGAGTTCCGCAATGCTACAAGCACACAAAGCAGTCAGCAGACATCCAAGGGAAGCGAGGAGACTACTAACCCAGCAAGAGCGGTGAGTTCACCAACAGCAGCTCCAGCACCAGCAAAAGCCATGCCAACGACCGCCTGACCAAAAGTATGTGTCGTGCCAACGAGAATAACACCAATGAGGATGGTCACGCCGCCAGCGAGCGAAATGTAGCGTCGACCGAAGAGATCTTGAAGATAGCCGACAAAGGGTGCCACGACGGCGATGGTCAGCGTGTTGGCGATGGGTAGCCATGACGACTTTTCGGAGGATCCGATGTCTTTGACTATGTAGGTGAGGGAGCCTCCTACAAAGTAAAGCGGAATCTGAGCGCCTACAAAATGAGCATGGTGATTTGTTTGAGGGGTTTGGGATGGTGACATACCTACGTATAGTCCTGCAAGAGAGATGGAGGCAATGGCATGGCGCCAGGTCCAATCAACAACTCCATCGGAATCATCGCCCTTGACGGCGTGGGCGTTGTAGTTGAGGTCGACGGTTAGAATACCGCCGTGTTCAGCCTTCTCTACCTGCTCCGAAGAGGGAGTATACTGATCGTCTTCTTGGGACTTGGTCATGGCTGTTCATGTACACTGGAGAGATGAAGGTGGAGAAAGGATGGGGCACATAAGATGAAGGGTCAGATTAATGTATTATAAATGTCGTACAAAATATCCTGTTTTCATTTATCATCTAGTTTCGCAGCTTAAAGCTTGACCTTATAAGCAGCATTCCATTTAACTACAGAGTAGGTGAATGCTAAACATTAACGCCGTATTGTGTGCCAAGGTGTCAAAACGCGGGGACCCCAGATAGCCCAGCTCAAGAAGGCTAGTCTGATACTACGAGAGTTGACCCCCTGAAACGCTCTTTGGGGTATGGACGCGGGGCCCCGCACTCTTGATAGTCAGCCATTTCTACTTTAGGCATAAACGTAGGAAACTGCCGAACCAGCCGCGGCTCGAGTCAGATTGTCCGTGTCAGAGACTTGGGAGTGTTGACTCCGACAATCTGACATGGACAACTACGCTAGCACGGCTGGGGGATCGCCTCTCAGGGCTGTGACTTGTCCTATCTGCCAACAGTGACTGCTTGTTCGCCAACGGGGATTCGGGGGGAACAAGAGCTTGCATGTAATTAGTCGGATGAGGCAATGGCCATCCACGACTCGGAGCCCTGTAGCACCCCGTAGACCCGCCTGTCATGTCAAGCACGAATGCTACATGCCAACTGTTACACACACCAGATAGTCCTGAACGCTGTTTTGGGTCGTCCATTCGTTGCCTGGCTATTACCACTGCAGCACGACTCGCAGAGCATTCGGGCTTCTCAATGGGACCGAGGCTGTAGATATCAGACCAATACCCCCTCCCAGTCAACCAGGACTTTGTTCTGCATCGACCTCTGACAGAAACCTTTGACATCTGAATCAGCAACCGCCTTGCTATCATCGACCATGACACAGTCCAAAGCCACCAATTCTGAGGACGAAATGCGAGAGGCCTGGGGTTATCGATTCAAATGGACCAAAGACCACCAGACCCCAGAGCAGTATGACCATCTAAAGCACTCTTGTGATACACTGGGCGAGGAGTGTGCGGTTCTTCTGAATGAAATGTATCCGCCTGAGCGCAAGAGTCAGCAAGACAAACAAGACTCCAATACCACATCCCCTGACGGAGCAAAGACTGAGACTCGGGCTCCGAAATGGCGGGATCTATACGAGCTGTTCGTCGAGCATCACACAGAGCATCCGAAGCTGGAGCAGCTCTGGGACGAGGTCAACACCACGCCTGACTGGGTCGACTGGGACCAGATCGCACGCGGCCAAGATGTCCTATACCGCTACGGTGGTGCTGCCTTTACAGGCCTGACATACCAGTCGCTCGTCGGAGGCACAGCCGGCGCTCGAGTCGCCGAGGTATTAGGCCGCACGGGCGGGTTCAACGTAGACACTGTCTTCCGCCGTATGCTCGAAACAACAATCTACTTCGTCGACGTCACCGAAAGTGTCGACAGTCTCAAATTCGGCGGTCGTGGCTTTGCAAGCTGCATGAAAGTGCGCTTCCTCCACGGCACTGTACGCCGTCGTATCCTCCAACTCGCAGCCAAGCGCCCTTCTTACTTCTCTGTCGAAAAGCTTGGCATCCCCATCAACGACTTGGACTCCATCGGCACCATCGCTGTCAACTGCGCCACCATAATCTGGCAGTCCCTCCCACGACAGGGTATCCATATGCGCGAGCAGGAAATGATCGACTACGTTGCTCTGTGGCGCCTCATCGCTTACTACATGGGCACACCGACCGACTTCTTCTCTTCGCCGGCCAAGGCGCGCGCTATTATGGAGTCTCTGTACTTATACGAGTACAACCCGTCGAGCAGGTCGCAGACACACGCGCAGAACATCATCATCGCCATGAGTGACACGGCGCCCAGCTACGCCAGTAAGCCGTATCTCGAGGCCACTGCGCGCTGGCTTAACGGTGACCCCCTTGCTGATGCTCTGGGCATCGGTCGGCCTAGCAAATACTACACGGTGCTGGCAGCAGGGCAGTGTGCGCTATTCATGATTGTCTACTATACCTGCCGCGATATCCCAGCTCTGGACCGCGCTCAAATCGCGGCGTTTCGTCGAAATGTTAGGGACTACATCAACAACCCACAACTCGGCCTGGATCACCGCTCTGCCTTTAACTTCAAGTACCTGCCTAGCTCTGGCGAGTCCAAGGACAAAGACAAGGGCAGGAGTCTTGCTAAGACTAAGAAAATGGTATTTTGGACTGCTGATCGTAAGGCGCTTGCTACGCTGTTGATACTTGTAGGCACCTTAGTGGCTGCAGCCTGGGCCGCCCTTCATGTTGTCAAGCTTGGAGTCAATCTCCTTCCTTTTAAATATTCTTATGTATCTTACTCGCCTTAAATAGTTATTGTTTTTATAGTAATGCAATATATTTTCCTTTTCTTTAATATACGCAATACCACCCAGCTATGTACATCATCCAGCACATAGATGTAATTTATCAAAATCCGAATCACATAATGTCTTCACGAGAAATAAAGCCCATATACTGAGAACCCTTTCCTTTTGGAAGAATTTTAAACAAAACTCTTAGGCTTTTTCAAGCTGCCTCTGTTGTCGACGAGTAGGCAAGGTCGAGAGCGTCTTCTACCTAGCTGCATTTCAGGCTAGAGCGCTTGCAAGCTATTTCCAAGCCGAGGCTTCCCCCGCACCACGATGCCACTTACAGTTTACTAAGTCACAAGGGGTTGAAAATCCCGGTGTGCCGGCCGCGGTATACACTGTTACAGCAGCCTGTCAAGAGGCTAGTTTACCGAATCCATGTGCACATTTAAGGCACAACGGTTGATACAGTGCTCAGTACACTACTTCCTAGAAAGATACAGAAAATAACGGCCAATCGACCCTGTTCCTCATTGAAGCAATCAGCAACGCAATACGACTAAGCAAGTAACCAGCGGTACCGATAAACATTACGCCATGACAAGATCGGATGTGGTAATCATCGGAGCTGGATTCTCCGGTAGGATCCAACAAAATCAGTGACTTGGCTAAGATTCGAGGAAACTGATTATACTCAAGGGATCTGCATGGCTATCAAGCTGCTCGAGGCCGGCATACGCGATATCGTCATCATCGAAAAGAGTGCAGGATTCGGAGGAACGTGGAAAGACAACATATACCCCGGATGTTGCTGCGACAGTCAGTTCATTCAACCTTACACGGAGAGTGCATACTAACTCCCTGGTCTCAGTTTTGTCACATCTGTACTCGTATTCCTTTGCACAGAACCCTTACTGGTCTAGAGCATATCCAGAACAGAAAGAGATCCTTGTAAGAACACATCCTTCTATACCCCCTAGTTCTCCTGCTTATCGTGGTTCACCAACAGAGCTACATTCAAGACGTCGCCCAGAAGTATGGCCTGTACAAATTCGTACGCTTCAGCTCAGAAGTCACGGCCGGAGAATGGAACTCCGAATCTCATGAGTGGAACGTCGGCATCAATGTCCTAGCTGGAAAAGAGGCTGAGTTCTGCTCGAAATACACCATCAAGGCGAAATTCCTGATCGCGGGAGTTGGTCAGCTGAACGAGCCATTCTGGCCCAAAATCAGCGGCCAGGATGGCTTCCAGGGCAAGGTCATGCATTCTGCTCGCTGGGACTGGAGCTATGACTTTCGTGGCAAGCATGTCGGCATAATCGGCAATGGTGAGCCCTTGGTCTTTGAGCTATGGCAAGAAACCGAGTCTGACGTTCTTTAGGAGCTACCGCTGTTCAAATCGCACCTGAAGTCGCAAAGGTTGCTTCTCATTTAACCGTCTTTCAACGATCACCCAATTGGTTAATGCCAAGATTCGATGCGGAAATTCCAAGGTGGAAGAGGATCCTGTTCGATCATGTGCCTGCAGTTCTCAGTCGGGTAAGGGCTGAGATAATGAATGCTCGCGAATCCTACTATCAAGCTGTCAATCACGCCGATTCCTCCGACTCTTTTACCATGACCGCGACCTGTAAACAGCACATGCAGACCCAGCTGCCTGATCGCCCGGATCTGTGGGAGAAGTTAACGCCAAACTATCCGCCGGGCTGTAAACGCATTCTGCTCAGCGATGATTACTATCCTACATTACGACTTCCGCATGTTAGCCTCGAGACGCAACATATCGACAGAATGACGGATAGTGGCGTCGTTGTGAGAGATGGATCACAAGAGAAAGATATTGATCTTGACCTTGTCGTCTTTGCGACCGGATTTCAAGCCAGGAACTTCCTGCACGGGATTAACGTGCAAGGCGTGGGTGGCCAGACTTTGAAGTCCAAGTGGGAAAACGGCGCATCTGCTCTCTACGGTGTCACGGTAGATGGCCTGCCAAACTTTGGAATGTTGTATGGGCCCAACACGAATCTGGGCCACAACTCTATCATTCTCATGATTGAAGCTCAAGCCAGATATCTCGTTCCATTGGTGACAAGAGTCTTGAAGAGCAGAGCCCGAGGGGGTCAGCTATCTGTCATGCCCAAAGCACTGAGGGTCCAAGAATGGAACAAAGACCTGCAGAGCAGTCTAGGAAGTTCTACCTTTGCTGACGCCAGGTGCAGTAGTTGGTATAAGACTGACAGTGGAGTTGTCACCAACAATTGGAGCGGGACTGTGGTGCAGTACCAGGAATTGTTGTCCAAGGTTGACTGGTCGGACTATGAGCTTCAGGGAGACGGGATGGAGAATCTTCCGACTGGCAAGGAGCGGATTGGTCGTGTCGTGGAGGAGACGCTGCTTAGTACGAAGCAACTTGTTTCGGTGACAGCTTTGGCGGGGTTGGCAGCAGCAGTCTCTGTCTATCATCATCGTCGGGGTTCTTTGCTGAAACACATTCTGTAGCCGTTGAGATTGCCTGTTTTTGATGCGCAAAATGGCAGGCATTGGCATTTTATATGTATCACCTCTTGGTTCGGATTCCACTTTCTTTAGTCTTATTGCACTTTACTTAACGTGCCCGAACCGTCAGGTCATCTGGCCAGTATGGGTTGTCCACAAAATTGGTCTTTGTACACCTCAGCCTAAAGCTTAACCTTATAGGCCGCCGTCATCCATAGGTACACCTTGATGTATTCACTGAGTTATCCATGACGACTCGTGTTCTCAGCTATAAGTCTCGACTGTAAATGAAACATCTACCTCACACCTTACGTATCATGCTTACTAGTACCTCCCATCAAGTCTATTGTCAATATTGTCCCTTTCGCGCTTCTTAAGTAGTTTTATACCAGTACTTGTCATATTCTAGATACCCTATCGTCTAAGAAGACATACCCCAATTTGATCAAGCCAGATCAATGACAACTCTTCCACGAAGCTTTCCTTGTTTCATATCTTCAAACACCCCAGTCAAGTCCTCCATCTTGCGCACCTCCACGTGTGGCTTGATAATACCACGAGCAGCAAAGTCAAGCACCTCAATTGCATGCTGCTGATTCCCAACCGCAGATCCTACAACTCGTAACTGCTGTGCAATCATCTGCACCGGCTTAGCTCCCGCGATCGGCACCTCGTCACCCTCGACCATTCCAACGCAAATCACAGTTCCATTGAACCGCAAGAAACTCATGGATTGTGCATAAGCTCTTGGTGAGGCAGTGCATACAATAACTGCGTGAGCGCCAAGACCACCGGTTAAACTCTTGATCTTCGTCGTCATCTCCTCGTCACTTGAGAAACCCCTCACATCGACAAAGTGCTCTGCGCCAGAACTATGCACGATATCAGCCTTGCTGCTGTCATCGATGCCAATGATACGTAGGCCCAGAGCTCTGGACCCGAGTTGGCAGGCCAGGTGACCTAGGCCGCCTCCAGCCCCAGGGATGACAACCCAGTTGCCGGCTTTTGCTTGACTTCGAAGCAGCGCAGCGTATACCGTCACTCCAGCGCAGAGCATCGGAGCAGCTATAGCCGAGTCTAGTGCTTCTGGTATAGGCGTCACATATGCAGCTGGTCCAAGGACGTATTGCTGAAAGGTGCCTGGGGTGAAGTAGCCGGAGATCTGTTGATTGAAGCAGAGACCATCTTCGCGGACAATGCAGGGTTCTGCGACAACAGCTTAGCTCAGAGTAGACGTGGAGTTTTAGGTGTTACATACCACATCTTCCACAACGGTTTGCGATCCATTTGATGCCAACACGATCTCCAATCTTGATGCCTGTGGCGTCAACTCCTGGTCCCAGTTTCACAACTTTGCCGACACCTTCATGGCCGCCAACTTGGCCCTTGGGTGTTGGAGCAGGAAGTGATGTCCACTGAAGTGGTGTCAGCATTCTTATCAGTTCCGAAGTACATCTCCAGGTACAATGATACATACGCCATTGGTCATGACAGCCAAGTCCGAGTGACAAACGCCGGAATGCGTCCTGTGGAGGTTAACAAACCACTCAGCTGACGTCTGATCTTGTAGATAGCTCACATGTTTATCAGCACCTCACCTGGTCCTGGCTCCGGCGTGTCCAATGTTACGAGCTTGGTGGAGATGGAGCCAGGGTTATCGTACACCAAAGCTTTGTACTGCTTAGGGATCTCGGGTACCTTGATAGCCATTGTGGAAGTTTAAAGCGTACGTTCAACTGAAACTGGAACTGTTTTGTGATCAAAGACCTGTATTGAAATGCGTTTGGGGTCTTGTTGCTTCCTTTTGCTAGCCTGTGCTGACTTTGTAATTGGGACGAAAGATTGATCTTTTCCAAAAGGCTACTTTCTAGTAAAGAGATTTCGGTTTCTCAATACAATGTGATTGTAAATTGTAGTGTGTCGAGTGTGACAAGCCAAAGCTTCAGTCAAGATTATGTTTTACGAGCTGCCTCGGTCCATCCAGCGGGGTAGGTCACCAGGCAAAAGTCCAGTCGTGTCAATCATGCATCCCCCGCATTGCCATTCCTGGTCACGTTGACGTAGTGCGAGTCAGAAATACCTACTCATTACTAAAGGAACCGAGGGTGTATGTGTAAAAGTCAATAATGTGCCTCGGGACAGAGCTGTCATCTCGAAAACGGTACAATGCTGACTAGATCTTGGGAGCGAGAGGATATAATTGTTTTCTAATAACGAGATGAATCTGTCAAGTGGCCCGCATGACAAGTTGAGTTCATCACGATCCTCCCGTCTTCCAGACTTCTACTGCCACATAATCCAGCCACTACGACGTTCGAAATGCCACTGACCACTGAAATCACCCTACCAGATGGCAAAGGCTACACCCAGCCTCTAGGCCTGTATGATAGTGTTCTTCCTGTCTATGATGTATCCGTCTAAACTACAGTGCCAAGGTTCATTGACAACGAATTTCGTGAAAGCAAAAGCGGCAAGACTTTTGAAGTTGTAAGTTGCTTTCATATTAATTCTGGCTGCGCTGGCTGATGATCGACGCCTTTACACAGGTGAATCCTACGTAAGGGAACAAGAACCACGCAATCCCTCCATACTAATGCCAAAGGCAGCACCGAAGAGGTCATCGCCCACGTCTCCGAAGCCGGGTCCGAAGATGTTGACTTGGCCGTGGCCGCCGCGCGACGAGCATTCAAAGGCTCATGGCGCACGACAACCCCCGAAGATCGAGGAAAGTTGCTGCGCAGAGTAGCCGACCTGATCGAAAAGAACCTCGATCTGCTGGCCAAGGTTGAGACGCTCAACAACGGCAAGGCTCAGCAGTGGGCGATCGGAGATGTCGCGCACTGCGTCTCCGTTTTTAATTACTATGCTGGTTGGGCCGACAAGATGGAAGGGAAAGTCATTGATGTTGATACAGAGCGCTTTAACTTTGCTAAGCGTGAGCCGGTACGTCCTCGATGCCCCCCATACCCCAAATGAACAACTGACTTGGCATAGTTTGGCGTGTGTGGACTGGTCGTCCCATGGAACGCACCTCTTGTCCTCATGTCATGGAAAGTAGCTCCAGCTCTTGCAGCAGGCAACACAGTCGTCGTCAAAACATCAGAGCTAACGCCACTATCTGCCCTATTGCTAGCTGATCTTTTCAAGCAAGCGGGAGCACCAGCCGGTATCTTCAATGTCGTCTCAGGCTTCGGCCATGTTGCCGGCGCCGCCCTTGCATCTCACATGGATGTTGCGAAGATATCATTCACAGGCTCGACTACCACCGGGCGCGCTATCATGCAGGCGGCAGCCCAGTCTAACCTTAAGCCTGTGACACTTGAGCTGGGTGGTAAAGGTCCTAATATTGTGTTTGATGATGCAGACTTTGATGCAGCCGTTGAGTGGGTTACGTTTGGCATCTTCTATAGCTCTGGGCAGGTCTGCTGTGCTGGCTCGCGCGTGTACGTGCAGGCTGGGATTTATGACAGGTTTATAGAGGCTCTTAGGGCCCGGGTAGCCCGCATTTCAGTGGGCGATCCGTTCGACATCAACACATTTCACGGATCGCAGACCTCCAAGGCTCAGTTTGATCGAATTCTGGGGTACGTTTATCTATCTCTTTCTGCGTTTCCCTGTCACTCACAGTTATCAATAGATACATCAAGAGCGGTGTGGACGATGGTGCAAAGATCGAAGCTGGTGGCTCTCGCTGGGGCGCAAAGGGCTTTTTTATCCAGCCAACGATCTTTTCCGGCGCCTCTCACGATATGAAGATCATGCGCGATGAGATCTTTGGGCCGGTGTGTGTCGTCTCCAAGTTCGAAACCCAGGATGAGGTAGTTCAGGCTGCGAATGCAACCTCATATGGCCTTGCAAGCGGGGTACATACCAAGAACATCGATCGTGCTCTCAACGTGTCCAATCTCCTCGAGACTGGCACCGTCTGGGTAAACCAGGTTCGTACCCATATACAGAACAATGGTTATATGCTGACTTTACTTCGTGCCAAGTATAATACTATTCATCATCAGCTTCCATTTGGCGGATATAAAGAAAGTGGGATTGGTCGCGAGCTGGGAGCAGCTGTGTTGGAGAGCTACACGACCATCAAGACAGTCTCTGTCCGGCTATCAGGGACACAATGATGCATTCTATAAATATGATATCACTATCGTATGTACTATTTAGGAATCTCGTCAAGCATTGCAGTCAACAGTAGCCAGTCTCGTTCTCCTTCTTCCTCGATATGACGAGCAGATTCTGGAGATACTTGAGCATCGCCCGTTATTTCTTTCAGCCAGTCATCATCATCCGACCCCGCATACAATAGATTAGAAGGCAAGGGCGGTATGTAGGTCGTTACCACTGTAGACTTCATATACCACGAGTCCAGGTTCTTGTATGCTTGATTGAAGTCCTCGGAGAAACTATATATCCCTTTCGCGGGCTGATACCTGCATGTGTCTCTCAGATCGTATGGCCACCTAAACCCAATATCGCTGGCGAATTTAGCCGCGAGACTTTCGGGAGCGTAGTTGATGCCGAAAAGGATGAGGTAATCTCGTACTTCGGGCCTACATTTGTCAGAGGGACCTGATCTTCAGCGTACAGACTGGCTGGGATTATTCACCATACAAAGTAATCGACCAGTCTTGAATGGTCTGTCTGATATTGTAATGGACTGTTTGTTACTTGGTCAGGAATGTCCCATACACAAAACGGTCTTTCTATTGCGCACGCACCTTGGATTCATGTAAGCAGGCGGCCTCCTGCTCGGTGGAAGTTGTGGGTTGAGTTTTAACTGTTTCTCCTCTGAGCATTTACCCCTAAGCTATTCTTTAGATGGGGCTAATACCATGAGCATCGACCGGATCACCCGGAGCATCGCCATCCTTTCCACTGGCCCGCTGCGCCAGAGAAACCCCTCATCGACAGTCTGCAACATCAGCCAGCCGATGTCGAATGGGTTCCTTGCCCTCGCTGCATCCCAGCCGTCCAGCACCGCTCTAATGTTAATGTCGTCGTCGACTTCGGGGTCCGAGAAAGCGTGCCCGCTCGCGTCGCTCTCGATGGTAACGAGCGCTTGGCTGAAGGCTTGGAAATAATCGCGCTGTTTATCGCCGCAGTTTAGATCGATGGAGGGGTATAGGCGGCCGAGTGACTCTTGATGCGGGTGGCATGCTGGATTATATGAACTTTGTCCATGTCTGGAGCTTTTTTCGTTCGGGGGTCGTGACGCTGAGCGAGTGCGGTCATCCACGTCGTCATCGCCATGGTGATTAGAGATTGAGTTGGTTGCAAGCTTAGCGATCTGCGCCAAAGCTTGTTTCAGGCTGGCGATCTCGTCAAACTGCTGTCGTAGTTGTTCAGAAAGATTCGGCCCATTATTACTTTGGGCTTCTGTAAGTCTTGCGACGCTCCTCTCGAGGTGGGCGATGTATGCTTTCGTCTTTGCGCGGGATGCCTGCTGGGACATGCGATCGCTCGCCCTCTTTCGTTCGCGTCGAGTGAGGTTCGCATCGTTTCGCGTTGTGGTCAAGGCACCGAGGGCTTGGGGAGAAAAGGATGTGCTGTCCGTTGCCATGTCGAGGAGGTTGTTGACTGCAGATGGGAAGGGGAGGACTCTGCGATGCGGAGGTTCTGACAGCTGCCGCCCAATGGAGAAGCAGTTCTCTATTCCCCAGATTTCGAAGTTTCAGTGCAGGGAGAGGGATCCGAGCGTAGAGCTCCGTGAGTGCCGAGGACCCATAGTAGTACTAGTCCTTATTTGACCAAGCCCTGGTCTGGTTCGTGTAAGGCCCCTGGGTGCAGATCCCTTTGGAATGCGGGGTACTCGGCCGAAGTTTGTGAGAGAGAGACGACGTCGTACCTCGCTGGGTACACTACAGTAATGGTAATGAGGTCGTTGCCTACTCTGATGTGTATTCGCCTTATGACAGCGATACTCCAGATGAGAGACAATTATTGCATTCTGTTTATTCTTTACCATCACCTGGTTCAAGTTACTCCCTTTTTGAACTGGTACTCTGTACAGAGTTCGCAGTCCCATCTCGTCTAAGCGTATGCGTTAGCCCGGCAAGCCACCTCTTGTCCCGCCACGGCAGCTTCAAATCTGTCAACTCGGAGCTACCGCTGAGTCCGTCCCCGCAGGGCTAGCTCAATCATCAATATGTACCCCGCGTACGCCATGCATTTTACCATGTTTGTAGAATCGTGAACAGCCTCGGCTGAGAGAATCTGAGTGCTTCATGTGATTTGAAGCGAATCCTGGAAATGTAAACCTTTGTTTTAGAAACAATTACGGATACTGATAACTAAGACACATTACACGTTTACGTGCGGCATGGTTCGGCCTCGCGAAAAGCAGAATGCACCTATGGACACCCCAGAGAAACAGGGCAAAACCACCAAAAGGCAAGTGTCCCAGAGATGTCGCTGCCAATGCTATCTGATGGAATGTCTTGACTGATAAGTCCTGCTATCTAGACGCCTACGAAATCGCCTCTCGCAAAGGGACTTCCGCGAGCGCAAGTCGATGTAGATCAAAGAGCTACGAAAACAATCCAAGCTTAACGCGATATCAGAGAGTGAACGGAATCTAGTCCTGTTGCATGGAGCCCGAGATGTGAGAGCGCAAATGCTCAACTGGGGTCCAAGGTCGTCAAGCTTTCCGTTTCGCTGAATGCCATTGGCGTGCAGATTGGCAAGATTCTCGATATAGACAGGCCTTCGGGGCAGTCGATGCGACCTATGGGAACATGCAGCGACTTTGAAGATGACCGATCCAATCTTGTGGAAGACGAGGAGAGCTGCGTGGAGGAAAGATCAGGACATAACAGGCTCTCGGGTTGAAGATACAAACTCGACAAATGTTACAGATACGTCCATTGAAGCACGAATACCAGGAGGATCCCCTAAAAAGCTCATGCTATGAGTATCGGCGTCCACTCGGCAACGTCGGAATCAACAGACATCAATGTTGTCTCGTGCCAAGAGATTGTGGTCTCAAATAGGGATCTCATTATAGGTTGTCCCTCAGAAAAAGGAAGATGCAGCAACCAGAGCTTTTGGAGGCCTTTGAGCTGTTACAGCACGGCGATGCTCGAATCTAACTAATTGAGATGACTGTAGCGAATGGTATTTGCTAAAAGACATCACATTCTTCTTATAATCTTTAGTTATAATATAAATGATCTCTTAAGGTCAATTAAGACGCTAGGTATCTATCTTTTTATAGATAATAATAAAATAAAATAAGTTATATAATAACAAAAATATTAAAAGGCTTTCAAACATAACTTGACTACTTACTTAATATACTTGAAAGTCGACTCTGATGTCAAACTTACTTAACCTATACGCTGACACTAAACTGGATTCACATTACAGCCATGCCGCGCCGAGGCGCCGAGGGATTAGCTTTTTAAGGTAGCTTCACCACTACAGCCTCGGCTCTCGGACGCTGACATCTTATTTTCGAGTCACCGGTAGCTTGGCCGTTCTTAAAATAGTCCATAGACTTGCCTTATGTTACAGACTTGGAAGTACACCATTTCAATGTCTAGCTAAGCAACATGATCTACCAGTCGCAGAACCCCAAGATTTCATGTCAGTCATTTTTATTATTCTCATATGCCAAACACTGACGTTATCTACAGTCGCTCCCAAGCTGACCGTTTGGTCATGGCTTCTAGAGTCCAAGCCTCTATCTTCTGATCGTAACGCCCCAGGCTTCACTGACGCTATCACCAAAGAGCACATTACCTTCCAATCTCTCAAAGACTACGCAACAACTTTATCATCGGCCCTCGTTACCAACTACGGCCTTTGTCAAAATGACACTGTTGTTGCGTTTGCGAAAAACTCCATTTGGTATCCTGTGGCGACACTTGCTGCCGTTCGTGTTGGAGCAGTAGCTTGCGGCGTATCGCCCGAGTACACCGTTGATGAGTTTCACTACAGTCTCAAGACTAGCAAAGCAAAAGTTATCTTCACGACGGTTGATAATTTTGATATAGCCAGCGCTGCAGCCAAAAAAGCCGGGATTCCGCCACAGAATGTACTCTTACTCGAGGGTTCCAGACAAGGCGTTACAAGCATCCAAGAGATATTCAAAACCTTCAAGGGTCTCGTCGAGGTACCTGCACTCCAGGTCGCGGATGGAAAGACAAACCGGGATATCTGTGCCTTTCTCTGCTTCAGCAGCGGTACTACCGGGTTGCCAAAGGCAGTCATGATCTCACACGCCAACATCATCGCCCAATGCATCCAAACCTCAGACATCACGCTCCCTAATCACAACCGAATCCTGGCAGCCCTGCCTTTTCACCATATTTCGGGCATAGTACATCAACTACACTTACCCATTCACCGGAACGCCAATGTCTACGTCTTACCTAAGTTCACCCTGGACTCACTCCTCAAGACTGCCTCTGAGACTAAGATCAGAGAACTTATCATCGTTCCTCCGATATTTATCAGACTTGTCCGTGAACCGGAGCTCGTGTCAAAGTACGATCTATCTCATGTTGAGCGGTTCTCATCTGGCGCAGCACCTTTGTCTCGAGAGATTTTGACTCTTCTTGAGAAGACCTTTCCTGGGACCGGTTTCAAGCAGGGCTACGGTATGACTGAGTCATGCTCGACAATTACATCGCATCCCCCTTCCAAGTATGCCTATAAATACGCCCATCGGGTTGGTATGCTGGTAGGATCAACGGAGGTACGGATTGTGGATATTGACACTGGCGAGGACTGTGAAGTTGGCAAGGCAGGTGAGATTTGGGCTCGTGGACCACAAATTGCAATGGGCTATCTCGATAACCCTGAGGCAACCGAGAGCACATTCGACAAGGATGGCTTCTTGCATACTGGCGATATAGGCTACTTGGATCATGATGGGATGCTGGCCATCACTGACAGGCTGAAGGAGATCATCAAGGTCAAAGGCGTTGGAGTTGCTCCCGCAGAGCTCGAGGGCCTTCTTCTCGGACATCCACACGTCAATGATGTTGCTGTGTGCGGTATTCCCGATGAGCGGGCAGGTGAAAGGCCCAAGGCGTTTGTAGTTCTCAAGTCTTTTAAAGTCTTGAAGCCGGTTGAAGCTGTAAAGGAGATATTTGAGCATGTGAAAAAGGAAAAGGCGCGACACAAGTGGCTTAAGGAGATTGAGCTTGTGTCTACGATACCGAAGAGCCCGGCTGGCAAGATTCTAAGGCGCAAGCTGCAGGGTCAGGCTTCAAGTGGTAGTCGGAACGTGGTAGTGAGGGATACTGGTGTGGCAGCTAAGCTATAGGTAGTTGAGGATCAGTAAATTAGAGTCTTGACTCAGTGGGCTATAAACATGGATCATCTTGATAGTAAAGCTACATCAGCTTTCAACCCCACTGGTCTATATGAACCACATGAGTCCTTGCCGTAAGTCAGTTCTTAATAAGGTCCTATCTTACGTTATAAGGCTTTTAATAGGCAACTATATCAACGTCGTGTTTTCTTGCCGCTGGCCTCCCTTTCCAAAATGCTGAGCGTCAATCTGGAGCAAAAGCTTCGAGGTCGAAACCTCTGGAAAGGCTGTTTTCAACTTGACGGTGATTTCTTCTGGTGTAAATGCACCACTGGGTTTCGCCTCGATCTCCTTTTGCAAGAAAAGAAAATATGCTCAGGGCTGTCTACGTTGACAGGTCCAAGAAGATAAACAATGTCCTCCCGAAGCAAAAAGAAGGTCGACGGAAACGCGTCGGGGACTCTTGGCGAGCTTGTGGTGTTTTCGTCAGCATACCGGCGTTATATTCAATTTCAACTTGTTGTTGATCGGCGACTAAGTCACTGAGACTGGTACACTGATTAGTAGGCTCTAGGTTAAGCAGCGGAAAGATGTATCTTACCTGCAATGTGTACGCCACAGCATTTCGTCATGCCGAAGCGGGGCTGTGGCGTTCACCTCTTGGCTACCAACTCATTAAATATTTCTACATAAGCATACTCTGCTTGTTTCGTTTGCATTTCCACAAAGCCCTAGTAGTGAATTCCAATGCTCATGAGCCACAACAACAGTGCGCCATACCCGAGACGCAAGCGCTCTGTAATTTCATGCAGGGAGTGTCAGCGGCGTAAGCAAAAGGTACAGGGCTCGGATTTAACAAGGCACCGCAGACTAACGTTTCATTGTAGTGCGATCGTCGCCAGCCATGTTCTCATTGTATGAAGCGAGGCAAATCAGTAAGCGTGTTTGTCTCCCCAGGACATGCCATTAGCTAAGGGAACAGGACGCCTGCCTTTATGATTTGGATGCCAACCGCGCGCCCTCTGCTCTCGAGCTCCATGACCAACCCATGAACGGCGTCTTGCAAGTATGCGCCGAACCACTCCCGCCGGCATCGGACGTGATGGCCGATGAGCTCAAACCATTGGGTTATGGCGACAGTACAAAAGGAACACCGGGAGTCCTGCTTAGTCTCGGGGAATCTGCAAGTCTTTTGCACCAAGTCCCGCTCAGGCACTGTCCTGCCGCCAGTGAATACATGAGCATACTTCGACAGCTTCCGTCTCAAAGACATATAGACATTCTTGTGCAAGACTTCTTCAAAAATGTAGCATGGCACTACGACATCGTCGACGAAGCTACCTTTATCAGTCAGCTTGCTCAATGGCGCCGCCTGACCTATGAGCAAGTCAAAAGAGGACCGGCCGCTTTACCGGTCACACTCTGGTCTTTCCCTACTCTTCTATTCCAAGTTCTAGCACAAGCCCTTATTTTCCAACCCGCCCATTATAATGAGAGCCTGAATGACCTCAAGTACGTCGTCGATATGGAGTTATCAGACCGGGCGGCGGAATACAGTGATGCGGGCCGTCGACTCGCTTCATACTTCGGAAAGAGCCAGCCCACTCTCACGGGAGTGCAGGCTGAGTTGATGCGCGCCTGTTTTGAAAAGACAACAGGGGCAGTGATCGAGGCATGGCACACGCTCGGAACTGCTATCCGCGATGCTCAAGAACTCGGTCTACATCTGATACAACCGGAGTCTACGACATACTCGACAGTTGGAAAGCCATCCGATCGCGAATTGGGCCGCAACGTCTGGCTTGTGCTGCACCTCTGGGATGCTCATATGGGTATTGTACTTGGAAGACCCATGTCGACAAGGATGAGTCCCAGCGACGTGGCCTTGCCAATGTCATCAAGGGACAGCTCTGGCAAGCAACGCCCACCGCAGCCTCGCGACGTTATCTTGTGCGGCTATCACATGGCTTACAAGTTCCTACAGGACATCCATAATCTCGACAGAGTAGATGACTGGCGTGTCACAGTTGAGAAAATCCACGAAACTATTGTCACCAATATTGCGAACCTGCCCGCATGGGCAACAGCCCAAAGGTCACGCCAAGGTGAACCTCCTTGGCTTTCTGCAGCCTTGGAAACAATGTTGACTAATGTCCACTTTGTCATCTTTGCTTTACATCGACCCTTCATCTTTGCTGAGCCGAGCAGCCGCCACAAGGCCTTTGACGCGGCGATGCAGATCTTGGAGTCTCAAGGTCGCCTGTTCGACCAGACGGAGCCTCTGCAGTACAGAGCCTTTAGTTTGGTGTTCGCGACGTTTGACGCCATGGTTCTCGTTGCTGCGGTGCATGTACGCTTTCCGGACGAGCAAAGGGAACAGTTTGCAGCGACCAGGAGGAATCTGGAGCTGGGTATCGAAAGGCTAAAGTCTCTGCAGACCAGGAGTAATGCTCTTGCCAATTCCGCACTCAGCATCATCGAACGGCTGTATCGAAAGGTGCTTGCGGTTGCGCATTCGGAGGAACCATTGGGCCACCACCAGGGAGATACTGATGATAGCGGCTTCATGGCAATGGAGGCAGAGACGAACTGGGACGCCATTCTACAACCTGACCTTGGAGATGTGATGGTTCCTCAACCGATGAACGAACTACTACGCAGCGGGTATTTTGCTCAGTCTGTAAACACAAGTCCTTCATACCAAGCACCGTATGGGCAATACCAATTCGGGACTGACATTATGGACACTTTTGGAAGTGATCTGATGCCGTGGGGCAGCACCGACGACACATCACATGGCATGAAGTAGCCTCAGACCACGTTTCGAAACACGAATGTTTGCGGCCAAGAATAGCCCTACATAATAAAATTTGATATGCACCGCTGTGGTGCTTCTGCTTTACTCATTCAGAACCCTCAGCTGTATTAGAATATCCAGTATATTATCTCTTGAAGCCTCGGCTCTTCTTTCGTCCTCGATTCCTCACACTTTCGATGCGAGTTTGTTGCTACCATGAGCGGCGGCCGCCAACGTCATTCGAAGAACTAGAGCTATTTTCACTACATCCCTGAGCTGTCAAACTATGGGGACTTGCAACGATACCGTCGGCTTTCGGTGATAGATATACGGACTAGTGAAATAAGAGGCATGAACATCTATTTTCCGTGCCATCTCAAGTTTCGGACTTATCGGCTGACTAACAAAGTGCTCGCTCCTGATTCGAGCTCTCAGCCACCAGTCTCTTAGTTAGCTGCTAACTCCGACATTGGAGATCCCAAGGTTTACGCTTTCCTGACAGATTAAAAGGAGAAGTGGTTAGCTTGGACCGTTGAGAACCTCCCCGCTCGGGCTGACATTTCAAATATGTGTTCTGGTGACGCAATAAGTCCGATCCGCGTGTGAAAGTGGAGAACCCAAACATGTCAGTCGGGTCTGATGATCCACTTAGATGCGCACTCAAGTCCGTGACAAGACTGTCCATCGGAAACGTGGCTGGTCGTATCCCCATCGCCGAATGTGGCTCCGAAAACAGTGGGACGAGCTCCGAAAATAGTGGGATGATCTCCGAAACTTGCGGGACTATCCATGGGACATAAGCACTACCTAGAAACGCAGCTCACAAAGCTCCCTTATATCAAATATTCCCTTGGCTCTGAAGATCGAGTATATAAGTCTTCCAATTATCCTCATATCTGACAAACAAGCTTCAATTTGCTCTTCCGACAAAATTACCTTACAACTCTGTCAACACTTAATCCTACTTTACTTTCACCTTATACAATGGGTTTCCACGGCCGCTACACTACAGAAAAGGTGACCTATCCATCTCACGGGGAGATCATCACCGGTATCCTGTATCTGCCCAAAGACGTGGCCAACCCCCCCGGTATCGTCGTTCTTGGCCCGTACTCGTTCGTCAAGGAACAAGCCCCGCTGCAGTATGCCACGCGACTTGCCGACGAGGGCTACGCCGCTCTGATCTTCGATCCACGCACGGTCGGCGAGAGCACCGGCCAGCCACGCCGTCTAGAAAACCCCAAGATGAAGAACGAGGACGTCGTCTCCGGTCTTGACTACCTCGCCGGCAGAGGCGACGTGGATCCTAAGAGACTGTTCCTCGTCGGTGTCTGCCAGGGCGGTCCCGAGTGTCTAGACGTAGCTTCATATGATGATCGTGTCGTCGCTGTCGCTTCTGTGACGGGGTATTATCGCGATCATGAAACTGACGTCTGGATGATTTGCACTGGCTGCGTGAACATCGAGCCCGGTGTCGACGTCGGCTCATTAAAAATGCCTACACCCGAGCAAGGAGAAGCGCTGTATCAGTCACGCATCGAGCGCGCCAAGAAGGCTAAGGAGCTATACGAGAAAACAGGCCAAGTCACCTACCAACCTCTGGTGGACCCCAAAGCCGCAGACCCAAATGTCGGTTCCCTCGCTGGTCTCCCGGGACCTGTCGCATGGTCCTGGTACGGCCCGTGGACCTTGAAGGGGTTTGAGAACCGATACGCCGTCATGAGTGATCTGGATCACTTTGGGTATTCGACTGTTCCTGGGGTAGCGAAGCTGACTAAACCGGCTCTGGTGATTCATGGGGATAATTGCATGAATGCGCCCGCGGCCAAGAGGCATTTTGAGTCGATCCCGACCGATAAGAAGAAATTGATCTGGGATAATGACGTGTCTCATTTTCAGCATTACGATCAGCCGGATGTTGTGGATAGCAACGTTGGTGAGATTGCGGCTTGGTTTGCGCAGGTCGAAGCGTAGAACGAAGAGAAGCAAATAGCTACAAATAATTCCAACACTGTTCGCTCAATATCTGTCAGTTGAAAGGTGTAGATAGCTATGCCAATACCCTAGTACACACGAGTAACACATAGAAAGGGATAAAAGCTATATATACCCTATTACAGGAGACATTTTCTCACTCTTGCGACTACCACCCTCTCAAGATGCTTTCTGTTATACAACTTTAGCATGTTGAAACAGGACTTTAGTATCTATCGTAGTTTTATTGCTTTGTGATAGCTATGCAGAACTGCTGACTAAAATGTCTCAGCATAATCAGTCATGATAATAAACCCCGCCTTTGCAAACCCGTCATGACACTCAATCCATCGGCAGCCATAATGGAAACTGTTCCGGACCCTAATCCGACAATCACTAAGATTTTACCCCCCGAGCTTATCGGTCACATCATCTCCCATTTCTGCTCCCATTGTAGCAGCGGCGTTGAAGATGACGACAAGGGAGCAAACGCCAAGGTCCTGGTGGCCTTGACGCATACATGCAGACACCTTCGCTCAATTGCAATGCGAATCCTGTTCCATAATCTTGGTCCTCATCTTCCGTCGACTTATTTCTTTCGAGTCCTGGATGACCAGCCAGACTTAACGCGTACGGTGAAGCAATTATGCTTGCCGCTATCAACGCCCAAGAGCTCATGTATCATAAACGACTCCGCTCTTTTCACGCGACTTGCTGATAAGCTATCACTCAATCACGAATGGACCGAAACGACACAATCCTCTGTGGTCGACGTTGAAATAAGCCTCGCCATGGCCTTGTGCTCTGGCATAGAAGGCTTGAAGATACGAATCTTGGACGATCAAATTACGAAGCGTACGAGGCATTTCCAACTTCTTTATTCCCTGTTGGAGAATCGAAAGCATGAAGAATTCTTCCCCAAGCTTCGACATCTTGATGTGGATAAGACCGAATGCACCAAGTTCAGCCTTTGTGATCCAGAGCCAATCCTTCTTCTGCGGTGTGCACCCCGTCTTCAGACACTGATTCTCCGAGGTCCTGGCGAGAAACCCGCTCGTCAGAATAGTGACTCAGCCATACAGGAATTCTGCGCTAGTGTGACGAATATTAAGGACCTCCAGATCGAGGGCATGGGGCCGGTTATTACAGGAAGTTGGCAGACTCGTGCACTCGAGCGAATACTTGGGGCGGCTCAGAATCTCGAGACGTTCAGATTTGTCGGTGTTGGCAGTGGTCAATGGCGTGATTATGTCTCTTTGATCCCAGCTGCACAGTTCCTCGAGTTCCTCAACCCACAAACAAAGAAGACATTGCGGCACCTCAGTTTGAACTTTGACAGGGTACGTGGTAGACGTAACCTTTCGCGACGCCCCATCACACCCCATCAGATCAAGCAGTTTACAAGTCTAAAAACACTCGAAGTTGATCCCTCGTGTTACTGCACCCAAAGTGGCAGTGGCGGCGTTGGCATTGATCATTTTTTCTCTTTTGATCCAAGCCCTCAGCCACAAGGCTCAACTCCAAATATCGCACCTATCTTTGAGCAAGAAACATACCTAGTCGACTTCCTGCCGCAGACAGTTCAAACCTTGGACCATCTTCTTGGACAGGTGGGCGATGTATGGGCTTGTGCATGATAGTGCCTTGCTAGCTCAACGAGTGGTTTCTGGCAAGTTTCCGAACCTGCAGAGGGTTCGGGTTGATGCTCCTATTTGGCGTATCAGGCCTATGGGTAATAGGCCGTATGATGATTGGGCTGAGGAGCAGCGGGTAAAATTGTCGGAGATAGAGGCGCAGGGGGAGGCCTTCCAAGAGAAGTTTGTTGGGTCCGGTGTTGAGACGCGGTTTAAGACTTGGTTTATCTATCTTTAGGAGGCTATTCCCGAGAGCTGGGATAGTAGGCTTGGGCGGGAAGAATGACGAGATTAAGATTTGAGACGTGCAAATAAGTGGTCTAGGAGCCCGCTCTTTGGTAATAGAATCTCAGGAGTGTGCCGCGACGCTAAGCTTGTGGAGTCGATCGCGGATGTTATGGAGTGAGGAGACCACCAATTAATCAGGCATCCTGGTGCAATTGACATTCGGAGAGTTGTTGATAGGCAGGCTTGATTTTGAGTTTATGGCCAAGGTTAGCTCTGTGACAGTGGCTTCAATGCACTGTGAATGACTCGTTCCCAGTGAGACATTGTCGCCCGTGAGACAGCGTATTCACGAACTTCTCACCGTTCTGACTCGACGCGCAAGTACATTATGCTCCTTCAGCTGAGATGTGCATCTTTGAAGGAAGATATTGCTCAGGGAGAACCAGGAATGACCTGATGTAACCTGGACCGGCATTTAAACACGGTCAGTGATGATATGTGACGAACTGCACTACCGAGCGCCATAAGCCACTAGCCCACGGGGTAATGTGACGGCCCAACACAAGTGCCGCTGATCATTAAATCCGTTGGTCCGCCTGTTTCCGGGGAGGCGCACGCAAAAAGCAAAAGGGGCTCGGACCTCTCATACTGTACACTTCAATTCCTCGCCCTCCCTTTTTCTTGCATCATTCATCTTCCTTCTTTTCATTTCCATCTCCCATGTCTTGAAGAAAATCACCCTGGGAGTCCCGCTCTCCGATGGGTCTCGGCGCAACGATAATCGCGGTTTGTGTGTCGCTGACTGTTTTGGCGGGTTTGTTTTTGGGGTTGAGATTGTATTGCAAGGTTATGAGGCGGCGGGGGTTTTGGTGGGATGATTATATCTTGATTGCAGCGTGGGTGAGTACCAGCTAATCTCTATGACATCCCTCATGGCAACGCGACCAGAAGAGCTATTGTCCATCCGAGGCGCTTCACCCCATTCAATTCCTCGCGCGATTGAGCTAACTTGACGCGTTCGCTAAGATCTGTCTCGCAATCGGCACTGGTCTCGTCATCTTCAACGTCACCCTCGGTTTTGGCAAGGATCAGTCAGACGTTGATCCAGCAGTCGTACCGACGATCGCCCTTACTGGAACCATATTTGGCATCTTCGGAGTTCTATCTGCATCATGGAGCAAAACGTCATTCGCCCTGACACTGATACGATTGGTTGATGACTGGATGAGCTGGTTTCTCTGGTTTCTCATCATCTCGACAAACATCATCATGGACCTGGTTATTGTTTTCTCTTTCGTCAAATGCACGCCTGCAAAGAAGGTCTGGCATTCGAATTTGCCTGGAACGTGTTGGAATCCAATGGTTGCGACATACTATAATATCTTTGCTGGGGGTCAGTGTTTTTCTGTATCTGCAGATGCATCTCACTGACTATATGCAGCGTTCTCAGGGCTAGTGGATCTGATTCTCTGTGTTATTGCTTGGACGATTATCTGGAAACTGTCCATGAGGACACGCGAGAAAATCGGTGTTGGGATTGCTTTGACCTTTGGTGTCTTGTCAGTCTTTCTAACATCACCATATGGCTATCTGCTGACGATTACTTAGTGCCGCCGCCGCAGCAGCAGCTAAATGCTACAAGATGCTTGGCCTCAGCAGCAAGAATCGAACTCGTATGTCATGCGATTAGGTACCAGTTCCTGACCGCTAATTTTTCGCAGTGGACAGAGTTGGCATCATCATATGGAGTACTACCGAGTGCACAGTCACCATCATGGCAGCCTCTATTCCCGTCATGCGTATTCTCATACTGCGCGTCTACCGCCGGACTCCTGAACTAGTATCGAATCGACCTCTGCGCACTCTTCGTATTATCAGCACAAGGGCCAAGAGAGCTTCAACAAACTACACGATGCCAAGCTATAATACAGAAGAAGGTACCAATATGCTGACCGAAGACGGCCTTCGAGACCTAAGTCTGCCATCGCGGACAATATCAGCAAGACAGAATGATATAGGTCTGTATGAGATTGATAGAAACTGTTAATATGACTCAATTTAGACATAATTATAGAGGTAACATGATACATTGAAGTGCGTATTGCAAACCTTCGCGATGGCCTGACCTATTTCGCATCGAAGTGGCCATAGCTCTGCTGCAACAATACACTCTACAAGCTTCAGACACCTACATACTTTCAGGACCGTCGACGTAACATCCCTAATTATTCATGCGAGTTCAGTTCTGTCCTTGGCACCCAAGCATACCGCCGTGGTGAGCTTCGAAGTCGTTCCCCAAAAGCTGCCAAACTAAGCTGACCAAGCTCTCATGGATGAGAGGTTTGGAGTATCTGGGCGAAGGACTTATGGGAGGAGACAAGGTATTCTCAGAGTGACTACAGAACTTAGTCGACACACGCGATGTGAGGTCCCCGGCTGCTGCCGGAGCAAGTATCTGGTTGAAGGCGGGAGACATATAGGGAAACTACTGTAGAATGGAGATTGATGCAGGACCTCTCGCAAGTCGACCTCGAAGAGTTCTTTGGTAGTTTATAGAAAGACCACATCACTCTAAATCTCATCACCTGTTGCGGACGGATTACTGTCGAATCTGAGGACCTTAAAGAACAGGCTGGCGGTCAGATTGTCACGAAAGAAGAGATCATTGCATTGGAAGAGCCATAGGGCATAGATCTGGATATACAGTATATCAGACAGCTCTACCAGGGCTTCGGATGACCTTTTGTCTTCAGTAGAGATGAACCTATGTACGCAGTAAACCAGTTAATGGGGAAGCTCGCAGAGCATCGGGAGAGATGGGAGGTCAAGATGGAGGATTGGGACGATCACGATCACTAATTGTGATATGTTTTTACTAACTAAGGTTACTATCAGCCAATCTAGCACCTAGCTACCCGTGTACCCTTTCTTACATTAATGTCTGCATTTGTGATTTTTCCAAGGTAGTTTTAGGTTTGCGGGGAAAGCAGCTCAGAGCCGGTATAGCCGACGGGCTGGGGTGCAGCAGTCCCGACTCCCACGTTATCCAACATTTACCCCGCTGTTGGATGGTCACTAGCCACGAGACATCCTTCCGTCCGCGTCATTCAAGGGTAATAGCCACTTGAACCTCTTAAAACATTAACTTCCTTAAGGCGGCTTGTCATTACAATCCCCCGTAGAAACGAATCATTAAAACCCGACAGAACCACTTCTCATTACTTCTCATAATGGCAACACGACACATTACACGAAGGCTTTGGAAACCCAAAGTGAGAATCCATGGCGGCGATATAAGATATTGTGTAATTCACTGACCTCGCTCAGTTCCCTACGAAATGTCAGCGCCGAGGTCTTGCACTACAAGAGCACCAGTCTAAACAGCTCTTGAGAGAGGTAAGTTTATAACTAGGAAGGAATGCGATAACAAAGCTGATCTACCAAGTTCGGCATCCCAGTGCAGAATGGAAAAGTAGCAACCACGCCTGCCGAGGTGCCGGGTATCATGCGTGAATATGGTAAAGTCATCTCCCTTCTTACCAATCTATCTAGCATACTGACCACCAGTCTTACAGGCGGCAAATGTGTCATCAAATCACAAATCCTCAAGGGCGGTAGAGGCAAAGGCACATTCGACAATGGATTCCAAGGGGGCGTCAAAATCGCAAAACTCCCCGAAGAAGGCGAGCATATATCCTTTCAGATGCTGGGCCATCGCCTTAGAACCAAGCAGACTTCAGGAGATGGTATCCTCGTCGAAAAAGTGCTGGTAGCTGAGTTTGAAGAATGCGATGAGGAGTGGTATCTCGCCATAGCCCTCGATCGCGAAAAGTACTCACCTGTCATTCTCATCTCAAGAAGTGGCGGTGTCGATATTGAGGACACTGCTAAGGGCGAGGGCGGTAGCTTGAGAAGCTTCCACTTTGACTATGACCAAGGCATCACTCCAGATGTTCTGAAACGTCTGCGTAAAGGTGTTGGTGCGAGTTCTGCTGAGGCGACAAAGCTCGGCGCTATTCTAACCCGCCTTTGGGATCTCTTTGTGAGCAGAGACGCCACGCTTCTAGAGATCAACCCGCTTGCTCGCACCGGCGTAGCTGACTTCAAGTGTCTCGACGCCAAATTTCTGATTGACGATGCTTCGCAGCGCCGGCAGCCCGAGCTATTCGCTGAGCGAGATATCCAAGCTGAAATTCCCGAGGAGATTGAGGCGCAAAAGTATGGATTGGTATATATCAAGATGGAAGGGAATATCGGCAATGTAGTCAACGGTGCAGGTCTTGCTATGGCTACTAATGACGCTATTGCTCATCACGGCGGTGCAAGCGCGAATTTTCTCGATGCAGGTGGCCAGGCTACGCAGAGCACTATGCAAAAGGCGTTTGAGATTATTCTTCGGGATGATAGAGTCAAGGTGATCCTCGTTAATATCTATGGAGGTAAGGGAAAGATCCATGCTAAGTCCATGTGAGCTAACGTTGTGCAGGCATTATCAAATGCGATATGATCGCTGAGTCCATCATCGGTGCCACTAAAGAGCTTGGACGATTGCCTGTCCCGCTTGTTGTCCGGCTGCAGGGGACCAATTCGGCTGAAGGATTGAAAATTGTATGTTTTCGTTTTCTACTTGCAGGTTCTTCGCTAATATTACCCTAGTTGGAGGATGCTGATCTTGGATTCCATGTTGAGTCTGAGTTTGGAGAGGCAGCAAAGAAGGCAGTCGAACTTTCCAAGTCCTGATGATTTGGCCTTGGCTTCATATGCCTTATTTGCATTTTACTATGTCATTGAATTATTCAAGCAAGTTTCTTAACAATGACGTACTGTTGTCAGTATATACATATACATCATTGGAGTAATTACTTAAACCGCATACTTGGTCTGGCACCATTTCCACTCTGGCAATCAAATACCAGACCTAAACCCATGGCCAGTATACAACAACTATCCACCATTTTAGAACTTGCATAGTGCAAATCACTAAATATTCCCTGAACCTCGCTATAGTTCCCTTGGTGTGGCGGTCAAGTATTCTACTTCAGAACCTAATGGGTACCGATTCATACGGATTCTGTCAGTGTAAGATGAGATTAGGTCTTTAATAACCTGCCCCATGACCCCAGGATGCGGTACTACAATCGCTCCACTATCTGCTAAAGCCTTCGCCTTGGCTTCGGCAGATATATCGCCTGATTGGAGAAGTGCACCGGCGTGGCCCATTGTTCGACCCTCAGGGGCTGTCTTACCAGCAACCATGGCTATGATTGGCTTCGGAATCTCCGTGGTTCTTCTTCTGTATTCCTTGATGGCTTCAGCAGCTCTGAGTTCTGCCTCACCACCAATCTCACCGATAACGATGATACCCTCTGTTTCTGGATGATCGAAAAACAGCTTGAGGGCATCCACAAGCGTTGTTCCTATAGTATGAATATTAGTAGAATCCTTTAACTAGAAAACCTCGTTCGTGACAATGTTAGAATCAAGATCGTGAGACCTACCGGGCAACATATCACCTCCCATACCAACAACAAGGCTTTGCCCCAATCCAGCATTCGATGTTGAGCCCACAGCTTCATAGCTTAGCGTTCCGCTCTTCGAGACTATACCGATAGTGCCCCTCTTGTACTGCTTATGCGGCATAATCCCAATACGGCACTGCTCGGGAGCAATAATACCAGGGCAGTTCGGACCGACAAGGCGAGTTTTAGATTGAGTCTTAAGTACGCCATGGACACGCATCATATCGTGTACAGGTATGTGCTCAGCCACGGTCACAACAAGAGGTACTTCTGCCTCTATTGCTTCAATGATAGCAGCTGCGGCAAATTGTGCGGGTACGAAGACTGATGTCGCATGGGGTTTTACCTGTTCCATGGCCTATATAAAGAATTATTGGATTTTGTTCGGATGTCAAGGTTTAAAGAGTGCAGCGTCGAAGACTTACCTCTTTGACTGTATTAAATACGGGAAGACCTAAATGCTCTTGGCCTCCTTTGCCTGGGGATACACCGCCAACGACATTGGTGCCATATGCAATGGTATCTTTGGCATTAAGTGTTGCCTTTGATATTATCTCAGTTGAATACCTTATGCCAGGGCAAGGTCTAGAATACATACGGCTTTACCAGTGAACCCTGTAGGCCAATTGTCAGTCTGTTGTTATTTGTGTGACAAATTGAGCCCATACCTTGATAGATCACCCTAGTATCCTTGCCAATGTTCAAGTTGGCAATAGTGGTATCATAGCCCTGATGTCTAGATGCACGAGTCGAAAGATATTTAGTGCTTCGACAAGACAAGAGGCTCCGAGATAGCCTCCAAGCGTTAGTCAATGTTGGGCGAGTTGCCATTGTGTATGTTGGCCGGTGGATGGTCTTGTTGAAGTTCAATTGAGATCAAAGGTACTCTATCCTAGCTACAGTATAGTACGCTACAGGACAGAAGTAAAAGACCAAGTGCATTGTCGATGGTGACGATGATTTCACCGGAGCATTGGTCATGTGATTTCGGGTAAGCGGTTGTATGCTCTTGACCACTTGCGAATCGGCTCTCGGCTTCTTACCCCGCAATCAGTCTCGAACCAGCCCGGACTAACGGTAAGCCAAAAAGGCTAATCTATACAAGCCCAGGTCCTTACCCATATTCTGCTGTAGTTAATCTGTTCGAGTTCTGTTCTTTCCTGAGTATCGAGACATGCTACCATAGAAATGTCTAAAGTCTGACATGTGTAAGGGGCTTAGCTGAACTGGACCAAGCTCTTGTAGATAAGGAATTTATAGTACTCTAGTTCTATAGTATCGGCTGGATGTTTAAATAGTCTATATTACTGTAACTCTTTTATTTTCTTAATATTGCATTATAGTATATATAAAATATTCTTTAGTGCCTTTAGTATACTAAGTAATAAAGGAATTACTAGGATAAATAAAAATAGTATTAGTAATAGCTAAGTCTTTAAGGATATTTAGTAAAGCTATTAGAGAATAAGGCTGTCCTTTAATATTAGAATTATGATAGTAAAGATTTATTTATTTTAATATTAAAAGAGGAAAGAAAACCAGTACCTCTATTTATAGCCTAATGCTTAATATTATAGGAAGCAATTAACTATTAAGAAAGGGAACTAGAAGGAGATGCTACAGTAAGTATAATCTAATCCCGGGGATATAATTATAAGGCTTAAGAAAGTCGGCAATAATAAGGTAATATCATTCCCCAGGCTTAGAATTAATCATAAATTAAGCAGTTAAGATATCCATACATTGTACATCAGTTGTTATTGGTTGCTTAAGGCGTCTCAGGAAAGTGGCGTCTGGCAGACCAAGACACATCAGCAATTATGAACAAGCGCGGTTTGCTCGTTCTCCCCCTGATTATTCTTTGTTTTTAGGTTTGTCATGGTCCTCTGCAGTATATTTTATTATCCCCGTTCTTTCAAGATGTCACAGACTTCTACGAGATGATCATCGCTTCCATCACCCCTGTTTAATAGGCTGTTTCTCGTCATGGAATGCTGCCATGACTTGGCACACTTGTTACCCCGCTCTAGACTTTCAGGCCAGTGTCTTGCAAGAGATGCTCCCTCCACCTGATTCGGCACAGCCTTGCCTCTTTTCAAGCCAGGTCAGGCATCCGTGCATATGGTGGCTTGGGGCAGAGCAAAAGAGCTCGAGCGACTCAGCCTTCAAGCTGAAATCAAAGGTTCTCCCTCCCAACATTTTCCCTCGCGGGGCCTTCAATTAAGAATATTCGCAATTGAATAATACCGGCGATTACTTGTTCGAGTCAAATGACATGAGTTGGAGAAGAAGCAGTGGTCCAGACTGTTTGGCTGGTCACGGCGAACGGCGACCAACAGCTGGCCAGGACGACTTCAGTGCGGAGGGAACCAGACAAAGGCTCTCCCACCAAGACTACACAGTTGGTTGGATTTGCGCACTCGATATCGAAATGACTGCCGCCAAGGTTATGCTGGACGACATCCACGAGGTTCTGCCTACCAGTCGACAGGATACAAACACATATACCTTCGGCAACATAGGCATCCATAATATTGTTATCGCATGCCTTCCATTGGGTCGCTATGGCCTAACTAATGCCGCAACAGTAGCGAATAACATGCGGCGGACCTTCACCTCGGTACGCTTCGGTCTCATGGTGGGTGTCGGCGGCGGAGTTCCTGGTAATGTCGATGTGCGACTTGGCGATGTCGTGGTCAGTAAAGAGGTGGTACAGTATGACTTTGGGAGACGGACTGGAGACGGCCAACTGCGCCCAGTTGGAAGTTTGAACAAACCTCCACATGTACTGGCGACTGCAGTCGCCAAGCTGCAAGCGGATCACAGAACTGAACCCAGCACAATTCCCTCGATCCTAGCCAACGTGCCTGTACGATACCCTGCGATGATCAACTTCACACGCTCCAGTTCCCTTCAAGACAGGTTATTTGACGCCACATATGACCATATCGAGCCCTCCAATCGACCTATGAACACAAAGGTTGATAGCTGTGAGCACTGTGACGTCGCCCGACTGGTACGTCGACCTGCCCGGAGTAGCAATGGCCCCAAGGTACACTATGGGATTGTGGCTTCAGGCAATCAGGTCATCAAGCATGGCCTTACACGGGATCGGCTTGCAAAAGAGCTTGATGCCATTTGTTTTGAGATGGAGGGGGCAGGACTGATGGATAGCTTCCCCTGTCTAGTTATCCGTGGTATTTGTGATTATGCAGATTCTCATAAGAACAAGCAATGGCAACCATACGCTGCAATGACAGCTGCAGCATATGCAAAGGAGCTTTTGTCTGTTATTTCGACAGATAGGATCCACCAGACATATAAACCTACCTCTTCAGTAGGTGAAGGTAAGAACTCCAAGTAAACATGGTCTCTCACTACTTAACACAATCCAGACCCGGTCTTGCAGGAGCGTCGAAAGACACTACTCGAATCGCTAGAGTATAAGGAAATTCATTCTCGTCGCCGAGGCGTGGAGGTTGCACATGAGGAAACGTGTAGATGGCTGATTGACGACCTGGTTTACCAACGGTGGCTTGACCGATCAATGCTTAGTCAACATCACGGGTTTCTATGGATCAAGGGAAAGCCAGGTGCCGGAAAATCGACGATCATGAAGTTCGCATATTCTCAGGCGCTGAAGACGATGGATAATGCAATTGTCATTTCCTTCTTCTTCAACGCGAGAGGGGATGACTTGGAGAAATCGATTGTAGGGATGTATAGATCTCTGCTTTGGGAGCTCTTGAACAAGGCTTCTGGACTTCAAAAGGTTCTGGATGACGCAGACCTGGTTCCATTGAGTCACTTCAACCAACCAATATGGAGTGCAGAGGTTCTTCGGTCACTTCTATCACTTGCGATAGCCAGTCTTGGTCAGAAACGCCTGCTCTGTTTTGTCGATGCACTTGACGAATGCAATCGGAAAGACGTTTATGACATGATTGATTATTTTCAGGCTATCGGGAAAGACTCAGCGTCAAGAGGATCTGAGGTATACATATGCTTTTCCAGTCGCAATTATCCCTTCATGGACATAGGAAATGGTCAAGAGCTGATTCTGGAACATCATCCTGGCCATGAACACGACCTAGAAGCCTACATACACAGCAAGCTCAAAGTAAAAAGGCACAGAGAGGCGGAAGCAGATGCACTGAGAAACGACATTCGTGTCAAGGCCAACGGGGTATTCCTGTGGGTCAAGTTGGTTATCCAGATGCTGAATGAGGACCTTGGATATGCAGATAGTCTTGCCGTCCAGAGGAAGACTCTTCAGGAGATCCCACCTGAACTAAGTGAACTCATAAGAGATATACTGAGGAGGGACAACAAGCGTCCAGAGAACCTACTCCTGTCAATTGAGTGGATCCTCTTTTCCACGCGGCCCCTGAAGTGGGAAGAGCTCTACTTTGCCCTTATTTCCGGGCTGCATCCTGATACACTCAGCGGGTGGAACCGGCGTAAAACTACCATCAAAGACATGAAGCAATTCATCCTCAGTTCATCCAAGGGCCTGGCCGAGATCACAAAGCCCAATACCCAGACAGTTCAGTTTATTCACGAGTCTGTGCGAGACTTTTTGCTGAAGGACGATGGCTTAGGGCACCTGAGGCGCGATCTACAACTGGAGACAGAGGATCCCCAATGTTCAGCTCATGATCGACTGAAAAGGTGTTGCCATACCTATATTCAGCTGGATATGTCACGATATGTGACCCGTGTTACCCCAGTCCCGGACTTGTCAATTGCTGCAGCTCTTCATTTACGAAAGACTGTGTTGGACAAGTTTCCGTTCATGGAGTACGCAACTCACTGTATCCTTTACCATGCAGAAGATGCTGGAAGCAAGATTCCACAGGAGAACTTTCTCGAAAGCTTCAATGTCAAGGCTTGGGTTGTTCTTGACAATATCCTCAGGGAAGTGAATGTCATTTCGTATCCATATTATCATAAATTGCCTTACCATACATCAAACGCAGGCCTCCTGTATATCCTTGCCAAGGATGATTTCACAAGTCTCATGGCCACAGCGTTCCGCCTCGGCTTTGCAAGTAACATACACAGAGAACGACTTGAGAATCCGCTGTTTGCGGCCTTGGCTAATGGCCATCGTGGTGCGGTCAAAGCGCTCCTGGAACAGGAAATGGGCATTGCTCAAGCAGAAGAAATCTCCGCACGGCTTGGATACGGAAACTGCTTTAGCGTAAGTAAAGGTTATACGCCGCTGCATTGGGCTATTCAGCGGGGGGATATACCGCTCGCCACCACCCTACTTGCATCTAAAGAGATTATACCTGTTGTTTCAGGTAGCGACGAACGGACACCGCTATCATTGGCCGCTGAGAATGGCCACGAGAGTATTGTGAGGCTACTACTGGCAATTGAAACAGTTCAACTTGATCCAAAGGATTACATGGGTCGGACACCGTTATCGCTGGCCGCAATTGAAGGTCATGTGGGTATTGTGAGACAACTGTTGTTGACAGGGAATGTTAATGTCAACTCAAAGGATTACTCTGGTTGTACACCATTACTCGGCGCCTTGATGAGATTAGCTGTGGCCCAAAGGTCCAATAATAAGGCCAGTGGTGCAGCAGGATATTCCAGGAGATTAACTGTAGTAAAACTTTTGCTTGAAAACGGGGCTGATATAAACGCCAGAGACAATTATGGCCAGACACCACTATTGTATACTAGAAACGAGGGACTTATAGACATTCTCTAAGGTAAAAATAGAGTGGGTAAAGAATATAGTAAAGAGCCAGATAGTAATGAAAATATAAAGACTTATTATAAGACAATTTAAGTAAGTAAAAAAGCAAAAATAAAACAAGAACTCATTCTCCCCCGGGAAGGCTCGAACTTCCGATCTCCCGATTGTCTATTAATAACAGTCGGACGCTTTAGCCAACTAAGCCACAGGGGAAATGTTTTAACTGGATGCTGGAGATCTTAGCGTGATTCATAGTCGCTAGCGTCACTCAAGCCTACCCTAAGCATTGTTCATGTCCTCCTTGAGGAACTACTGTACAAGGAATAGCCCATGTTCAATTGTTCATCGGAGTTAGCAGATACAAAGGACTTAGGAGTTTGTTCTTCTGTCTTCTGGTAGTAGTCAAAGCACTGTGCTTGCAAAAGCATAGTGTTCAAACCCAGCTGCTTATCTTTATCAGAAAAATCAGGACAACAGTTAAATAACTGAGTTCAACAAGAACACAGGCTGTAAACACGAAAGAAGCTTTTGAGGTGTGTAAACCACCTCGATTAAACAATACGTATAAATACTTGGTTCTACCTATTTCGGCTTATTCTTTCCTACTTCATATCGCATCTCACCAAGAGGACTCTACTTCTTCTTTGACTACAGTCTACTTCTCCTTCACACACAACTTCATCACCCTAAATGTCTTGCTTCATTGTTTTAGGCGCAGCTTCTGACACAGCTTGTGAAGCTGATAGCAGCAGCCCTGTTCCTTCTGTTCATGATGAATTATCTCCTGTGTGGTCAACCTGTAAGTGTCGCGACGCGACGCCCTACATACCCAAGCGCACACTCAACATCCCCGAAAATTGGTATGATGAGGTGCCCGACACCGAGGAATCTCTCGTTGAACCTCCCTCACTCGCAGTTAAAGCCCTTCGTGCAAGACAATTCTTCAGGAGACTTCTAGTTGCTCACGCTGCTGATAAAGGCTTCTCCTTGGGCGACTGGGAGGAGGCCAAGCTCCGGCATAGCCTTCTGTTCATGATGGACGACCTGTATGAAGACCTTGAAGGAGAGAAAGAGTATCCTTCTGAGTGGGAAGACGAGACCATCTTCAGATCTTTCTACGAGAAAACTGTCTCTGCCTGGGTGGAGGATCTTCCGGACGACGAAAAGGCCTGCATTGAAAGACTAGCTGACATCTTAGACGAAGAATACAACATCGATGTTGATGATGAAGCGGGTTGGGAGAAGAATGAGATTCGATTGAATCAGTGCCTTGATAGTGCTGAGCCTATCCATGAGGAAGACCAAGGACTCGAACAGTTGAAGCTAGAGGAATGGGCGTGTTATAGGTGCTCCCGACGCTACCTATGCTGATAAGATATTTTTCTTCCTGGGCTGTAAGGACTGTGGTCCGACAGCACAGTATTTTGAGTGAGTAGGATAAGAAGGGGGAGTCAGTAGCGAGGAATCCATGGAATAAGAACCATGAGAAAGAACTGTATGGTCTGGGTGCCTTAAGTCCTAGAAGCCAAATTGATCTTATTACATGCATGTGCAAGAAGCCCGTAGTGTATCATATTATGTGAAGCAAATAAACGATACTTTTGCGTGTATGAGATTATCCTTCAAGATATAAAGATGTTGCGAGCTGTCTCGAAGCCAGTAGCCGTAGATCTATCATCCATTTTGGGTACGTCTGGCGAGACTCACAATCACCAGTTCAACCCAATCAACAACCCAACACAAAGCGGCGCAAAAGACCAATGCTGCCACTCCCCATGCCCAACTACATTCCTTGCCACAAGCCCATCAGTAACACACATAGCCAACGCTCCAAGATACCCAAAACTCATAAGCTTTCTATCCCCAGTGAGGCTGATATTAAAGAACAAAAAGCTAACGACGAGATTCCGACATCCGTAGATCCGTGCGAGGCCGCGAACAAGCTTTTGAGCTTGAGGGTCTGTTGGGATAGGGTATTGGAAAGATTGGAGGGTTGCTTCGGGGCGCGTGAGGAGATTGATGCCGAAGAGGGCGGGGATGAGAGATATAACGTGCGTTGCGCGGTTGAGATAGATGAAGGACATGATGAGAGGAGATGCTTGGTTGATGAGGACAAGCTGAGGATTTTGTGATGTTTTAAATGGAGTTTTGAGGAGATAAAAATTACTGGAAGGAGAATGGCGGAGATGGGAGAGTATCTCCGTCAGCTTTGAGTGTCAGCACTAATAAACATCAGTGATCCTATTGTTCGTCTCACGTAAGCAGACAAGGCACTGTGAAGCTTCAGGCTAAAAGATGATACATCTCATTCTAATAGGAAGGTGAATCATTTGATCTTAAATTTGTGTTAAAGTGATGTCAATTCGTGTCGAACTCGGTTTATTGCGTGACAGTGTTATTATGTAGCCCCAAACACTTTGATGAATCCCTCTTGTGCCAGCGAATCGTGTATATCACCAATCCACAGCACGCTGTTCAAAATCGCCCTACATTGCACCCAGGTACTCACACCAAGAGCCTCACAAATCTCGCGAATAGCCCGGCGATGCCACTCTCGATCAAAGTCCTCAAAAATACAACCCCCAGCGATAAACAACGCCCAAAGCAAGAACGTCAAATGCTCCCTATGCAAAGGCACGAACGTCTGAAGTTCCCTCTCCAAATTTTTCGACAGATAAGACATTCTCCTCCCAACCCCAGGAAGACTAAAAAGGATGCTCTTTATATACACCAGTATACATAGCCTCATAAGCTCGCAAGTCGATTGCTCATCGTAAGAAAGCTGAAGCAACCTATTCGGAAGAGTTGTGCTTATGAAGAGGAATAGCTCTAGTGGAATAAGCTCGCCCTCATTAGCTAGTCTGCCGTAGTACTGTAAATCGGTCCAGATGGAGAGTAATCGCCGATCTGGTGTCAGAATTCGAGGATTGAGAAATGTAGATTCTGGAGGGGAGTGGATTGCAGATATTGGCATGAGTGAGTCCCAGACTTGGATGTCGGGAAGAAGCCGGGGTTTTCGCCCCTCTGTCATTGACAGACATATCTCTATCCTGTACAAGTTAGTTACATAAAGTGTTGATCATGAACTTAGTACCTTTGACACTTCATCTCTGCTAGCGGTGCAGTTCCAAAAGGCGATATCTCACCACGAAGTTCAAAAATACGACATAGCCCATCCATATGCTTTCTCGCAGTATCAACATCTCCAAAGCTAGACGCCGCCGACGCTAGATTAACAATCGCTCCCACCGTCGCCATAGCAGTAGCTGTGCTTTTTTCCTGGAGACTGTATTGTATACAGCGAAGTGTCTCGCCAAGATGATATCTCGTGAGCATGCTAAACTCTATGCCTTGGCAGACTTCTTTGAACGCTGATGCTGTGAAGAGGATGGAGTGGAGGGATACTTCGTGCATGTGCATATCGCTGAGGCTGAAGATTTGAGATTCGCATTCGTGGGCGACTTTCATGTCTATGGCGTATCGACAGGGTTTTGAAGTCGTGAAAGCTATGCCATGCAGTCAGTCTCTGGTTCTTCAATGTGAGTTTGCAACAATACCTTGATGTATTAACTCCAGCATATATGGCTTTAGCTCGAGTTCTGATCGCTGTAATAGAATCTCTGGTGCCAGCTTTCGCGGAATACTCATAGTCGAAGGTTGATCCGTGAGGGTCTTCTCTCTAGTATGTGCTTGTGTCGTGCCATTGGTCATTTGTACCGAGGGTGGAGATAGAGTACTGTCAGTATACATGATCTGAGATGTGCCCTTATCAGTATTCATTCGTTCTTGAGCCCGAGCTAGCCTGTCCTCGCGTGTATTCCTCCCGCGCATCGCATGGCTTCGTATCTTTCTCATAGTACCCCTATCAGGCTTTCCCGCTGATGTTGTGACCACAAAGATGGCCATATTGGATAGAATTGGGTCGAGAAGGGAATCTTCCTCCACGGCAGCCGCTTTTACTAATCACATGCTTTATTTCTGAAATTATTGAGACTCAATCCATGTTTAGAGTAAGCACCTCCCGGTTTAAATGTTCCCGGAGTTCTCCCGTACCATTTACTCAAAAGGGTTTAGAGTACGGTTCTTGATTGTGATTGGACTTGCTCAGCAGCAAATGTGGCTTAGCGTCGATTTGGCAGTCGGCAATTAAGTTCAGTCTGATGGTGACAAGCATCAATAGATTGACTGGCACGCCAAGGCCGTACCATATTCCGATATGGGATCAGACTGTAGTCTTCAAGCCTCTTCTTAGCTTCGAATGAAACTGCCTGATAATGTATGCCTTCAATGTGGCTAGATCTTGTATAAATAAGTGCTGCCTGCTCTGCTGTATCTATGCATCAGCTTCATGCGCACTAACCTAGTCCAACTCGTCTATCGCCTTCATACTTCTCATCACTATACTACTCACCCTCTCTTCCCGTCGCAATGTTCTGGTCCAAAGAAAAAGATTTCAACCCCAAAGACATGCCCTCTCTTGAAGGAAAAGTCATCCTCGTCACAGGCGCCACCGCCGGTCTAGGCAAAGAATCCGTCCTCCAATTCGCCCATCACAATCCCTGGCGCATCTATCTCTGCGGCCGAAACCTCCAAAAAGCACAACTCGCCGCACGAGACATCAAACACGCTGTCCCTTCCGCTTCAATCAGACTCCTCCATCTCGATCTTTCCTCGTTCGCTTCAATCAAAGAAGCAGCGCGCATCGTGCTCTCGGAATCCGAAAGGCTTGATATCTTGATGCTCAATGCTGGAACTATGTTTGTTCCTCTTGATCGTACTGCAGATGGTTATGAGGTCCAGTTTGGGACGAATCATATAGGCCATGCGCTTCTTAGCAAGTTACTTATCCCGCTGCTCGAGAAAACAACGCGTTTACCTGGCTCAGAAGTGAGAGTTGTGTCTCTTGCATCTCATGGACACGTCTATCTCAACAAAGGCGGGATTAACTATGATACCCTCAAAACTGATGGAGAGTCAATTGGTCTTTATCAGTGCTACTATCAGAGCAAACTTGCCAACATCCTCTGGGCGCGACAGTTGGCAAAGAAGTATCCGCAGTTCACTGTATCAGCAATCGATCCTGGGCTTGTGAACACAGAGTTGTTGGTGAAGGCAACGGGGATGGTTGGTACTTGTATGCAGTGGTAAGGTGCATGCTGATCACGCCTGTTGCAAAGGGAGTGAAGAATTAGCTCTGGGCGTCGGTTGGAAATGGTGTTGTTAGTGGAGAGTATTATGAGCCAGTCGGGAAGCATGGCTTAGTAACGGAGGAGGGTAGAGATGATGAGTTGGCGGAGGAGCTTTGGGACTGGACTGAGAGGGAGTTGGCATCGGTTCTGGAGTAGATATCTTCTCGATGTTGTTTTATTTGTACCATTTCCTTCTTTTTTATTCATTCCATAATCTGCAACCGACAATACACAGTCATATATGCTTGGAGCAACTTTTTCTAATCTTAACTAGTTATCAAGGGCTGTACATCCCTCGAACTTATCATGTCCCTGACAACCTGCCATCCAATACTCTGCTCATTCATCTTATCATACTCCCTCCCCATGAGCATACACCACTTCTTCAAAAACCACGGTGCAGCCTCCCAACTCTTCATATCCCAAGGCGGATACGTATCCCTCCCACTATCCCCCCTCTCATGCTTCAACCGCCATATCGTCAGACCACCTCTCTCATAAATATCCAGCTTAAGTTCCCAGTTATTGAACGCATGCGGCATTGCAGCTGACAACATAATCGCTCGTTCGCGCAGAAACGGAATGGGAATTAGATCAAGGCTTGTGTGATGAGGTATAAGGATTTGAGCCATTGTGGGGCGGAGATGAATGGGGATACTCGTGTTGTTGAATGTTGAGAGGATGTTTGAACCTGCTTGTATAAGGGCTGTGTGATTTAGTGTAGATGAGAGGTTGGGTTGGTAGAAGGGAGATATGTGTTCTACGCTGCAGTTTGCGATGACGGCGGGGTCGATACCTAGGGATAATGCGTTGGTGAGACATGATGTGAAGATGGCTGCTGGTGAGAATTGGAGCATGTTCATGTAAAGGTCTGGAAAGTTGGGCTCAAGCTTTTTGACAGATGTGTCAACGGTTTCCGCAACGTCCCCATCGCATGGATTCATCTCATCAATTGTGCTCTCCCGCTGACAAGAGTCTACCGGTGAGAGGTCCTCTCGTTTTAGAAGAGGTCTGAGGCTTTGTCCACGATTCTGTTGGGCTAGAGCCTTTTCCTGTTTCAGCCGTATCCTCTCTTGTTTCTGTCGCTCTCCTACAAGGCCTTGTTAGCAGTTTCAATGACACAAACGGGGTCTGACGTACTGTACGCTCTCTGCGCCTGGCGATTCTGCTCTCTCCGCGCGGTTGTTAGAACGCGACGCTTGGCTGGTGGAGTGTCAGCATCCCTGCTAATCGACCGTTTTCGACAGGCTGCATCATCCCTGTTCGCCGGACTGTCTTCTACTGTATCGCGCATGACACGGAGATGAATTCAATGGATAGTTCTCTCATTAAAGCATATGAAATTCGAGATATTTGTTGTTGGCGGAAGTGAGATCATGCTAAGTCCGAAGTCCGTGGGGGCAAAATGGCTTACGGTTTTCCAGCCAATCAGAAGCTGGTTACGCCAGTAAGTGACAGCGGCTTACGGTCTCTGGGCCATTCAGCAGGCTCAACACCAAAGCGATAATTAATAAGGAAGGACGAAATGCAGAACTCAATATTAACGCCGGAATGTGTATTACTATAAGTATCACAGTAGAACTCACATCAAATCCATCTCTATCACTTCATCACTGACCAACTAAACTATCTTCATCATACAATCTCACCATGTCTACCAAGACCATCGCAGTCGTCGGCGCCACAGGCACCCAAGGAGGCTCAGTAGCTCGAGTGTTTCTCTCCCTCCCCAAATGGCACGTCAAAGCCCTCACCCGCAGCCCAACATCCCCCAAAGCCCAAGCCCTCCAAACCCTCGGCGCCGAAATCATCGAAGCAGACATGAACGACCCAGAATCTCTCATCAAAGCCTTCAAAGGCGCCCACGCAATCTTTGTCAACACTGACTTCTGGGCTCCTTACACCACCGCTCTCAGCCAAGGCAAAGACCAAGCTACTGCCCAACAAATCGGATACGATACTGAGGAGCGACATGTTAAGAACGCTGCTTATGCTGCTTCCAAGACGGTTACCCTTGAGAAGTATATTTATTCTGCTCTTGGTCCTATGAAGGATGTTTCGAAGGGGAAGTATTCGCACTGTCATCATTGGGAGACTAAGGCTGCGGCTGTTAAGTACATTGAGAGTGAGATGCCTGAGCTGGCGAAGAAGACGTCGTATGTCTACATGGCTGCTTACGCCACGAACCCGTTCTTGTATCCCAAGAAGGATGACGACAGTGGCGAGTATATCCTCTCTGTGCCAGCTTCCAAGAATCTCAGGCTGCCTATCATCGACATCGAGGGTTCAGCTGGATCTTTCGTCCGAGCTCTGGTTGAGGATGAACCTGCTGGAACAAAGCTTCTCGCCTACGATAGTGACTTGAACATCATTGACATCATGGACACTTGGAGCAGAGTCACTGGCCAGAAAGCTGTCTTCCAATCAATGACGGAGGAGGATATGCATAAGAAGACTGGTCTGCCTTATGAGGTACTTGACGGACCAGCTTACCTCGATGAACATGGATACATGGAGGGCATTGAGGGGGCTATCACGCCAGAGCAGTTGAGCAGGCCTGTTAAGACGGATAGCTTCGAGGAGTATCTTCGCAAGCAGGACCCAGAGACTTTGCTGTCATTCACATACGCAATGCCCAAGCCTGCTGCGGCGAATTGAACGTTCGATGGAACTTGTTCGGGGCAAAGGGTACTCGATGTAGTGGAGGGTAGCAGTCCGAAGGAATTCGGTCGTATCCATAGCAATTATATCATAGGCTAGAATGCGAGAGCTGAAATACTTCCCTAAAATTGACCAATCGAATAAATTCCGCCAAGTTCCCCATTGCAACCCTGAACAGGCTGGAAATAAGCTCCGCCACTTCAGCCACGGAAAACGTCTTCCCTCAAGGCAGCAACTATGCAACTGCCGATAACTAAATCATGCTTGATTTTATCGCCCTACTTGCTGTAATCTTGGCGCTGTTGGATGGTCCTTGCTGCTTACGCCAAGTCCAGAGGTGAGCGCATCGTGAGGTTCTTTTTTTACTTAATATGGCTAGTGAGATGAAGGATCTGCGCTGGCGTTTCATCTGCCGATTCTAGAGAGGAGTGTTTGGGGTCCGGGGAGCGCTGATAGAGCAACTTGTTGAGGATGAGCTGAGTGCTTATTGCTGTGCCGCGATGGTGAGATTGGGTTATGTGAATATTGCGATGGGCTGATCCAAGTTGCACTGTAGCATAGCATGGCAAGCATCAGCTGTCGATTGATCACTGTAATCTGAAAACACCCTGTATAGTATGAGGATCAATTGTTGATGAAACCCTGGTTAACTAAGAGGCTTCAAGATTGATCCGAGCCGCCTTGTTCGAGTACCAAGCGACAATTGCAGCTATCATCGAGAGCCCACCGTACGCAGCCAAGTCTCATAGCCCAATGTATTAATTCAAGGCACTCAAGCGAAGAGCACGAGTAATGGACCCCAATCTAATATCTCTTGCGTTCCTTATTCCTTTGTGGCGAAGCATCGTGAGCTTCTACTCCACTCCCCGTCTCAATCGGGAGATATTACGGCTCCTCCCGCGGCCGCCGGGAACTCGGGGTGACTTGTCCCCTGCCCTCTGGACTAAGATCCTTATCTAACCGCTTATCGAAGCGAGATCGACCTACTGCCAAGAGCCTCAGTGTAACAACAAGCTTGCTCGAGCCCATCGTAGGATTCACAGGATTAATTAATTACTCGTAACATGAATAGACGATCCATACTCAGGTATTATGATATAAACCTCATCTATCAACTGGAGGAAATACCTTCTTCACTCATCTCATCACCACTCTCTCACAATGAAGTCCACCACCGCCATCGTGGCCCTTGTCGCCGCAGTCAACGCCTCCCCTCTCACCAAAAAAGACGACAACAAGGTCCCTGATGTATGGGAGAACAAAGACACCCTCTGCAAAGGCTTGCTTCTCAACACCCCAGAGGAAGCCGATACGCTCTGGACGATGAAAACCAAAGCCGGTGATCACCTCGATACCTTCCTCCGTGGACAATGGGGTATGTTTCTCCCTGCCACTGTATGATACAATAACTGACCAACAGAACACCAAAACAATTGGCTAATCAACCTCGAGGATCGCGTCTTTGGCGGTACAGATGGAAAGTCTGGCGCCGCGGGCTGCAGTGTTCTTGATAATGATTGCAGTCCCATGAATAATATGGAGTGCACGGAGCAGTATGAGAAGTATGGTACTGAAGATCCCCTTAGTAAGACGTCGTACTGGATCTTCCAGGCTGCTAAGGGCATGCACTCCAAGTTCAAGGCGCTCAAGACAAAGATCACGGAGAAGACTATCATTAGTGGTCTCAGGATCGGTCAGATGGTGACTGACTTTGGCGGCAATGAGGATGATACTGGGGATATGGTCAAGTGGTTGGCTTCCGCTAGTGCAATCGGTGGTGCTCTCAGTGGCCTCTCCACAAACGTACGTAATCTATCTCCCTGTATTGACAGCAGCTAATTTCAATAGCCCGGCTTCGGAGTAGGTCTTTATCTCTTTGGCGGTATCTTCTCCGCTTTTGGTAACCTCAAGCAAGAGGAGATCGATCAGGGCAGTATCTCAGCTGGCCTAGCTGATCTATTCGAAGCAGCGGTTGACCGACTCGATGAAACCATGCGCATTGTCATGGGCGGTGGGACAGAGGACCAGTACAACGCCCTCAAGGCGTCTAACCCAGATCCCTACAAACTTCCCGTGTCAAACTTCTTCAACGGTGGCTTTTTTCTTCTCAACGATAACTCTGAGGCTGTTCAGCTTGCGCTCACCTCCGTGTACGGGAACATCCAACCCAAGGTCGCCAATAACGTCATGAAGGCAGCGCAATTCTACCTCGTCGCTGATAAGCGCGTAAGAAGCCGCGAGGACTGCGGTTACGCAACAGGTCGGCAGTGGATGTCTCTTCGAGAGGGTGAAGAGTACTGCTTCTACATCATGCGATATAATCCTAATCCCAACAATGTTGGAAACTGGGCTGAGGTTTCGGGTGAGGTTTATGATAAGATGGCGAGCTATGGGCTTGGGAACAGAGAGGTTTACTACCGTGCTGTTCTGGACTGTGCGCTTAGTCCTAATGACGACGTTGACTTGGGGAGCTTGGTTGGTGGCAAGATTCCGACTTGCTACTTTAATCTTCCTGCTGTTTACGTTGATACCGATCAAGAGATGGCATGCGGTGGCCCTTTCAATCCTGCTGAGTGTGATTTCATCAGCGCCACGGATATTAAGTGAGGAGGAAATGACTGGGCAGTTTTATTCATTTTTGTATATATTCAATGGCTCTCTCCTAGGTCTATGCGTTAACCTCCAATTAAATATGCTATGTCTATGATATGATATGCTGCCTTGACCCATGCGAATGAGATTCTAGAAATAAACGCTGTATCTTAAGATGCCTTCTTAAGATCTTCTCTTGGCTTCCATCTTAAGCCCTCTTAACACCACTTCCCCTTGGCACCCTGAACAACCAGTAGAAGCCCAAGGCACCAGCAACGTTGACAAAGATGTACACCCAAAGAAGTCCAAAGTGCCACCACCGATCATCATAGTCAATGTTGAACCGATGCAAGAACTCCTCCGTTGTCGCAAGCGAGCAGTACTTGCAGACATCAGTCGATGAACGATCGAGAAGATAACCACCAGCTGCCTTTATGAAAGGACCCATGTAGTCACCACAGGTCATGTTACCAGGAACAGCCATCTGGAGAATCTCGTTGTCTGCACACTTGACGTTGGAGCCCCAGACACAAGTCGACATGATACCGCCGACGATGTAAGTCGCTGGTGAGACACGGTACATGAAGGTCCAGAACTTGGGGATGTCTTTGTAAGCGACACCGACACTGTAAAAGTCAGTAAATGCGCGATGATCGAGTGAGAGGGTGACGTACCCGCAGAACGAAATGGACAGCATCCACAACAAAGTCGCGATAACACCAGCTTCTTCAGCAGTAGCGATACAAACAATAGCCGCGTGAGAGAAAGTGCTGGTGAAGAGCATGAACATCCAGAGGTACAAGAAGACAAGGAAGCCTCGAATGGCTTGGTCGTCGGAGGTGGTGTTGCGCACGAAGCCAACGGGGTAGTACCAGGTGAAGTAGATGACGACAGCCATGAGGGTGTTCCAAGCTGCTTCGACGATGATGTTGGACAGGATGTATGCTGCGAATGGTTAGATGATGCAAGACAGCGATGATGAGGAGGACGTACTGTTCCAGCGGTAGATCTTGGATGGTCGCTCTCGGACTTCGTAGAGATCGCGCTGAGGTAGAAACATGGGCATGATCTGGTCGCTCAAACTCTGGAAGAGAACCATGTACATGAAGATAGCGTAAAGCTGATTCTGCAAGCCTTGAATGGTATTCTTGGCCTCAAACGTGAATCCGATGTAAAGAGACTGTAGATGTTAGCCAACGCCCCCTTTACAAGTAACTCAAACATACCGAAAGAACGATCAATGCGATCTTAGACCAGATGTATGTAGGCGACCTCCAAAAATGCTTCCAAGTCCTAATCAACACCTCCCGAAACTGCGTCGAGAACGACGCCACAAACTCCTTGTGCTGCGACGCATCACCGCTCTCCAACGCACTCGTCGTTGATCCCCGCGTAGAGGGTAGAGAGTTGAGTCGTGCAAGCTCCTGCTTGACGTCTTGAAACTCAGGTGAATCTCTCCAGATCTGGTGCCAGTCGATCTTCTCGGCTTCTTCGTCGTTGGAGGGCTTGATGATCTCGAGCATGTACTCTGCTGGGTTGGCGTCTTCGGGACAGGGGGGTGCGCCGTTGCGTTCGAAGTACTTGAGAAGAGTCTGAGATTGTTCGCCGAGATCTGGGGATGCTAGTCAGATCTGAATAGGGTGGATGAGGAGCTTGGGACTTACCGCCGAAGTAAACTGTCTTTCCGCCAGGTGCGAGGAGTAACAGGCGATCGAATCTCTGGAATAACATCGCAGAGGGCTGATGAATGGTACACAAGACCGCTTGTCCACTAGCTGTAAGCTTCTCAATAAGATCGCAAATCGCCCAACTAGTCTGTGAATCAAGCCCACTAGTCGGCTCATCCAAAAACACCAACAACTGCGGTCTAGCCGCCAACTCAACACCAATCGTCAATCGTTTCCTCTGCTCAACATTCAACCCCTCACCCGGCGTTCCAATAACAGCATCTGAAAACTCCTGCATGTCCAACATGTCGATGACATGCTCTACGTACGCGAGTTTGTCAGCGCGTGAAATCTCGGCGGATTGGCGGAGGAGCGCGCTGAACTCGAGGGCTTCGCGGACTGTCATTGTTGTGAGGTGCAGATCTTGCTGCTGGACGTAGCCGACGCGGTGTTGGAAGGAGGAGTCGGTTGCGAGGCCGTCGATGTGGGTGTTTCCGGAGACGATGCCCATTGTTACGCGGGTTGCTAGGACGTCGAGAAGGGTTGTTTTGCCAGCGCCAGACACGCCCTGAAGAGTTAGTCCAGCTGTATAGAGTTGAGGGAGGAAGTAGACGTACCATCAGAGCTGTGGATTTACCGGGCTTGACCCATCCGTCAACGTGATCCAGTAATCGACGGTCCTTACCCTTGATCTGGATATCGTAGCAGAGATCTTCCCAATGAAACACAGATGCGCCAGCAGTGAGTCCACTGGAAGGGTTGTTGTTGACCTTTTCAGCGACGACAGGTCGGTCGGTGGCTTGAGTCTCGACATCGCCGTGGTCTTTCTCAAAGTTGGAAGGCATGCGGCCCTTGCGGAAGACGAGGACCTCTCCCTTGTTCCTGGGAGGCTTGGCGTGTTCAGCTGCAATGATGTACAGGATGAGGAAGCCGAAGAGGAAGCCAATAAGGATACCGATGTTTCTATGACTGGTCAGCATTGTTCATGTAAGGAGAAGTGATACGTACCGCCATTTGTTGGAGTTGTAGTACTTGAACGACATGTTGATGTACCTATCGCCATCGACAACAGACGATCCAGGCTCGGCACCAACAACAGAGCAAATGCGAGAATCGGCGGGAAGGTCATCATACCCCGGCCCCTGAGGAACCATCCCCGCACAAGCAAACTTGCGATTATGAAACTCACTCGCCATCAACGCCTCAAAAGCATAAGCCAAAGGATTGATATAGTTCATCCATCTCGACCAACCAAGCATGTAATCCGTCGGCATGGTGAAGCCCGTGTAAATCATAAGTCCAAGACTCAGAATCGACACGGGAATCATGGCTTGGTGGGTTGTGCGGGTGACGCATGCAAGGGTGCGGTAGATGCATGACATGACGAGCGTGGTGAGGTATGATGTGAGGCAGAAGAAGAAGAAATGGCCTGCGTCGCGGCGGAGATGGGCCATGAAGTAGATTAATAAGTTGAAGATGATCATGTTGATGGTTTTGTAGGGGAGGTCGATGACGTAACTTGCGATAGCTTGGGCGGATTGATGGTAGAACGCATAGCGGTTATGTTTCTCAACCACAGGTCTTTCGGCGTAGACAGTGAGGACCTAAGTCATTAGTAAACCGCTTCGTGATGAAACAGGAGACATACCTCAAGCTGACTCGCAAAAGCATTAAACAACAATGCAAAAAAGATCAATCCCCCACGATAGTAAAAACTCGAACTATCATCCTTCAAATCAAAAAACATCGTCCCCAACACAAGCGCCATGATAAGATTAAACACCAAACTCGCAATCGTAAACCCCGGATCAGCCAACAACCGTCTCCAACCTCTCCATAGAGTGAGTTTCACCTGCGCGGCGTACGAGATGGTATAAGGACTCTTGGCGCGCTGGTTCTTGAATTGTTCCGCACGACGGGAGGATTTGTATTCTTCGAGACGTTGGGATGGTGGGTGGTTTGCTTCGTAGGCGGATATTTCGTGCAGGAGGGCTTTGCGCTGGGGGGAGGAGTGCCAGCG